CTGGCGGGTTGGCGTTGGCGGGTTAGCCCGCGGCGGAGTGGGCCAAAAGCGGTGCGGGCTAGAGTAGCCCGCACCATGGCGGGCTGGCAAAACACCAACCCAAGCCCGCCTTTTTTGGCGGGGTGGCGGGCCCAGCCCGTATTACCGGCTCTACTAAATGCAATCAATACTTGCCATTTTTGTCCAGCCTGATCAATATTCAATACACACCGTTCACATCATGGGAAGAAGAATGCATCAAGCACAAGAACAAGGTCAATAACTCACAAGGGAATTATTTCTACAAAAAAAGAAGGAAAACTTCCAAGGGAATTTTAAGTCATACATAATTCTGTCATTTTAGACTTTCTGAATGAGATAAAGGATTAATTATTAAAAAATAAGTTTTACGGATGAAAAAATTTAAAACATTTATTATTAGTTTTTAAATTAAAAATAATTCTTATAATTCGAAATAAAAAAAATTACACATCATTATTCATACATATTCATACTTTGGTTTTTGGGGTTCCGTAACATTATCGTGATTAACCCGGGGGGGCCGGGGGGGAAGGAGAAGCGCAACAGAATTTTACTATAAAAAGAAAAAAAAGAAAAAAAAGCTTTTGCCATAAAAGAATTAAATGATTAAATCAGTTTATAAATTTGTATGAATCGAGCTCTGTTGTGCAGTGAAGGGGAAAGTTCACGCGTTGAAAATTTGAAATTAGGGAATGTTTTTATAATTTTAAAAGTGATTTTACGTTAAATCTATGAGAAGGGTTTTGTCTTAATTTATATAAAAATATTTTTAAATTGCAAAACAGTACGCTACTAAACTTTACTGTTCAAAATGGATTTGGAGAATTTTTAGCCCATGGCTTGTATTCTAAATATCATATGGTGTCATACAGGCCGCTTAGGAGATTGTATGTTCGATTTCATTTTGTAATCCTGGGCAATTAGGAAGTAACCTTTTAATTTTTTTTTAAAGAATATTTTTTTAAATACATATTTAAGAATTTTTATTTTGGTCTTAAAAAATGTTATACAAAATAAAAATTATATACACACATAGACATATTAAAAAAATCGCAAAGGTTGTCGGTGGCGGAGCCTTAGAAGTATTTTCTTTTTTAATTTTTGACAGTAATATTTTGATAAATTGATAACCTCTAATTCCATTTCCACTTTTAATTCTACCCCACTTTCTATTTTCAGTTTCTTCGAAAATACTTCTCAAATGGGGCATAAATTCAAAATCTTGCCATCTTTTGGGGTACCCACCGTCAAAATTTTGCTTTTTGATCAGTGGGCTTCCCTTATGTTCTTCACCTAAGCCCTATAGACGTTGACATTAAACAATACTCCTCCTCTGGTTCTATTTATCAGAGAGAGAGAGGGAGGGTTTTTTTTTTAAATTTTATTTATAAGTTATTTCATTAAATTTTTAACGTCAATGTACTATTTCATTTTTTTATTTATTATAGTACAGACAGTTATTTTTTTTGAAATATATATATTAAATGTGAGTAAAGTTGAAAAGCTATTATATTTTAATGAAGAGTTAATACATTTTAAGATTTTTTTTTTGTCCATGTAAAATATGTTAGAAGTACCCTATAAATAAGATCAAAGTAGTAAGTATTAAGCATGTTGATAAAAATTCTCAGTGCTTCACATGAAACCCAAAAACTTTTGTCCTTTCCCTTAATTCCCACCCCACGCTCCTTAATTTCTGCCGAGAGATTGGCACCGATGGGAAAAACTCTCTCCCGTTGCCCTCCTTTCTGTCTCTGGGGTATCCACTTGCTTCCAAATAATAAAATGATTCCTGCAAATCAAAATTTGTACCTCTCCTGATTTATTTAATATTAAAAAAAATCATAGATTGAGTTCAATTTTAATTAAAAAAATACTCTGCGTGAAAAATGTGATTCTGGATTTGACTTCAGAAAATACTTCGTCTGTGTTCATGTGCAGAGCAAAAGCTCATCTGCTATGGTTCTTCCCTTCTGCTCTTATAATTTCCTTTTTTCAAAAGTAATCTGAATTCCATTAACTCAGAGTGAGTACATAATGAACCAAGAGATTTAGTTTTCTTCATCAAAATTGGCCCGCCTCTTGTACAAAAAAGAGGAGGGTGATCAACAGTACCAAAATTACCATCTGACTTGTGTGAAAATTTAACTAACTAATGAGCAAGTGTTAATAGTTTAAGATTATAAGCAGAATCAAATCTACAGCTTATTATATAAGAGAGCTTTTATGTTATTATATAAAAGAGCTTTCATGCTATCAGGATACAAACTTATTGACACTAAAGTTACATATTTTGATAAGAATTACTTAAATGTGAATAAAATCAACAATACACACAATTAAATTCAGTAAACAAGAACTTGTGAGGATAAGAGAAAATGTTCTTATAATATTAATAAGAATGATTTAGTTTAGTAAGTAAAGTATATATGTAAACACGCCAAAATCAATTAATTAATAGGTAATCAAATCAAAACCACAACATTTTTTAACAATTTAGGCAGACTCCCTCTAAAGAATAACTTGCAGTATTAACAACATAAAAAAAAAAGGGTTACTTATAATACAAAAAATGTGTTAAATTAATGGTATTGATCGATGGAAATTAATATTAAGAAATGTACATGAAATGATGGTCATCTAACTTCCTTCTTTAATTAATGTCTCTACGCGTCAACTTTCTGTGCCTTCAATAATATCTCATCATATTATTGAAAATGAAGACTATGATGTAGAGAGGAAGAGGAAGACAGGTGGGGACTGACTTGCTATTCCCACGTGCAATTATGCTTCATCCTTTTCGCTTCCCATATGCCACTTTCCCCCGCCATTTTATCGTACGGTACCACACAAACACAATTCTTGGGATCACAAAAGAAAAGGCAAAATTCCAACATAATGTTATAACAGTTCATCTCTATCCATTCTCTTGGTTGTGAGCTCGTCTCATGGAGTGCACATGCACGCCCCTTTCAATATCATCCATTTACCAGAAGTCCATGATGTGTGTGCGTGTCTTAGCATTTCCCTTTCTCCATAAATATGAAAAGAAGAATTCATACCTATATGCAGACCGTCGATATGAAAAATCTGATTAATGCTTTCTTGAGTCTTCGAGCTTGCTTTAACTTTGATGAGCTACTGAAATTCAATTCAATTCACCAAAAACTTAGGGGAAAAAAAAATTAAAACATGCTTTATTTGCATGCTTAGTTACTTACCGAACAGGCAGTTCATGCCGACAGAAAACTAAGAAGCAGATAGGTTTATATGTAGTTTTCAAATAAGAGAGGCCTATGAACAAAGAATTATCAATACATATTGACCCATAAATCTTTAGTTCGCAAAACCCCATCCATCAACCGAGCCACCATTCCTGGCTCGACTATGTTCAATTAAACAATAAATTAAGCTCTGTAATTATTACAATACTTATGCATGCAGAACATGGAACAGAATTATGAGAATTTGACCATTAGCTAGGAACGCTAGCTGAGTAACTTAAATGGAGTTTAATTAAGTCAGATTACGACTCTAATTACTTTGAGGGAATATGTCTACGATTCTCTTGATAGCTGTTAGGTTCCTGAAAGAATTCATCTTGAAGTCTCGTGAGGAATCTTACTCTTCAAATATTCCTCCATTTCATTGTTAATTAAGTTTTCCTTATTCATCAAGAAATGAAGTTATAAATATACTCCGTGTCTTAAGATAACATACCAAAAGTGGGTGGTGTCTCTTAACTTTTTATACGGCCAACTATTAAACAATAGATAGTTTAACATGCATTCCAACTTTTCCCCTAATCATTATTAGCGTCTTTTAAGTACTTTTCTTAAAACAAAGAACATAGAAGCCAGCAAGAAATGATGGAAGTTAATAAAAAATCAAAGCCAGAGAGGGGAGGAAAACAGGGACACAAATATCCCCATGTGACTCTGATTTGGGGACAAAGCAAAGAAAGCTGGGGGCTCCTAGAAACAGTCTCACATGGGGGGAGGAAGGACATGATTCTCACAAGCTCCTTGCTTTTCACAGCTCATCCTTAGCCAAAGTCCTCCATTTTCCCACCACACCCACTATCCCCGCATAAATTAAATTGCCCAAGAGATGTCCACTTATTTAATCTTATCAGTTTTAGTTATGTATGATTAATTAAGAACGTTTTATTGCATTAAAATATAATTTATCATAATTGATTCTCACTCGTTTTAAAATAATACCTGGATGACGTATCAAGTTGAGAGTACGAAAGAACTAATCCGTTAAATTATTTCAGTCTGTCCAGCTGCATAATATATATGCTTGTTGATTCCTAATTTGCCAAACACCCACAGAATGATGAAAACCCCATTCACTCAATTATAAACAACAGGCAGTCTGATCCAAACATGAGAACATATAGTGATCAGTGCCATTCTCTTCCAAACACTTGTCATCAAGGGAAAAAATCCAATAAAATAAGCCTGCCAAAATGGTACAGTAAAAGCAAGATGATTAGAGATGAGCAACTGAACGGTTCTGATGCTGTGACCAAGGGGAAACAAATGGGCCATGCACTGAAGCGACACACGAGTTGATATGCAGTATGCACTAAACATTTTTTATCAAACATGTAAGCTGCATAATAATAAGCTTAGGAATGAATTTAATATGGTAATGTAAGAGAGAATGGATGCCAAAGAGCTGGGTCACATCGGCACGTGGTTGCTGATTCCTCTAGTTATTAAATTACACTGCCAAATTTCCACTAAAACCGTTGAGTCTTTCACCACCTAGCTGTTGCTAGCTGTCTCTAATCCCCCTCCCATGTGACTTACCCCTCTCTCTTATCTCTATTCTATTCCCTTCCTTCCTAGTTCCCACCTCCCTCCAAAACCTCTGGACCTTAAAAAAACCAATCATAACGAACACGCATACACTAAAATCTAAAAAAAAAAAGAGCAGCCAATAAAGAACCTTCATGTGATAGAGATTTTATGACTCATACTTGGTTCTATAACTCCCATTCCTTTAATATCTCTATCTTCGCAAAGGTTTTAGAAGCCCAAGAAGCAGATTGTTGTAACAGCAGTTGAGGTTGTTTTTGTTAGTTGTAGGTTATTGCGATTTCTCCCCCGTCTCATTCGTTTTCTCAAACACATCCTCTGCACTGTATTTTCGCCCTATCTCTATATTTCGGGTCACATCCCATATATTGGAAATGGCACAGTTACCACCCAAAATACCGAGCATCCCACAAAATTGGCCTTCTTTTGCTCATCACAAGATGTCAGCCATGGCTAATTTCGATCCTACTAACACTACTCAACAACAACAATATCATCATCAGCAACAGCAGCAGCAGCAAAATTCTTCACCACCATTATCACAACAGTTACCTTCCTGGGTCGACGAGTTCCTCGACTTTTCGTCAGCGCGGCGTGGTGCTCATCGGCGGTCGGCGAGCGACTCCATCGCGTTCCTCGAGGAATGCCGGAGCTCCGGCACTGTCGCGGGAGCCCATGGGTTCGACAGGTTGGACGAGGAGCAGCTTATGTCGCTGTTCTCCGACGACATTGCCTCCAGTGGCTTCCCTCCGGCGCTGTCTAATCCTTCCACGCCGTCCGATCAAAATAGCAACAATGATGAGAAGCCAATGGTATTAGACGAATTGGTCCCAGTTAAAGAGAACCAGAAGCAGCCGCCGCCAAAGAACAGCGAGCAAGGGGAAGTGGAGAGCTCATGCAAAAACGAAACAGCATCGCCACCGTCGTCTGTTGCCCCCAGCAGCGTCGAAACTACCGCCGATCCCAAAAGGGTCAAAAGGTAATGTTGACCTCAAAATTATCGCGTTGGTTACATGAAAAAAGAAACAAAATTGATTGCACACCAAAACCAAGAATGAGTTATGGATCAATTTAATTACTTATTGTTCCTAAGGCATAAGTTGGTCAAAATTGAATGAATCGGGAGATTAAGAAAGATGATGATGATGACAATATAGAAGTTATTTAATGAGTGATTTGTGTGGCGGGAATTCAGAATATTGGCGAACAGACAATCAGCTCAGAGGTCAAGGGTGAGGAAGCTGCAATACATTTCTGATCTGGAGAAGAGCGTGACGACGTTGCAGGTGAATTACAAAAGCTTGTACTACAAGTTTACTACTAATTTAACGATTCTTAATTAAAGCTAAAAGTAATTAAATTGTGATGAAGACGGAGGTATCAGCGTTGTCGCCACGTGTAGCGTTCTTGGACCACCAGCGTTTGGTTCTCAACGTGAATAACAGTGCCTTGAAGCAACGCATTGCTGCCTTGGCCCAAGACAAGATTTTCAAAGATGGTAACTCTCATCCTCTCTTGTTTTGTCTCATAAGCATTGATTTTCCCTTAAAAAAAAAAGCCTATCAGTCCTCTTTTCTTTTCCTTTTTTATATAAAATATTCTCCCTATTTCAGAATACTAGTTAATCTAAAATTATGTATGTTTCAAGAATATTTTGTTTACTACTCCTCCGGTCCTTAATATAAGACCCATTTAACTAATTTGATTAGATTAAGGAAGTTAGATAAGTTAGTTAATTATAAGAAAAACGACATATTTTTCCTAAAACACCATAATAATCTTTTTTAATACCCCATCTCCCTCTTCTATTTGATTATGGTTGAGGGAGTATCAATAGGGGTAATTTAGAGAAAATTGATAAATATGAGAAATGGGTCTTATATTTAGGACCAAAACCAACTCAAGAATTGAGTCCTATATTAAGGACCGGAGGAGTATCATGTTAAAAGATGTCACCAAACCTTTGCATTAGTCTTTTGTTGGCATTCTACCTATTCCGACTCACAACTTATGGAATAGTGCAAAGCCCGTTAACCAAAAAGTTGTGAGTCTTTAAGGTTACTAAATTTGTCTTCATATAATTAGAATAGATTACTGTCTAATCCTTTTTATAATAATCCCCAACATGTTTCACGATATAACATGTTTTGTTTAAAATAATAATTTTTACCTGATATTTCTAGCTAATTATAAAAGTTACTAACTAGTTAACTAAACTCTTGCTAATTGATGATTGGTATTGAGGGTAATTTTGATATTTTATAAGAAATAAATAATTTTAACTAATTTCATTAAGTTATGCATAGTTATTATTAAATGCTTGTGATAAAGATGGGAGGGAGTACTTTGAATGTGGTTGGTAATTTTGATTGATTGGGACTGATATAAAGCACCAGGATTACTGAGAATTTATCTCTAATGTGGTTGTTTCAAATGAAAAAACACAGCACATCAAGAAGCATTGAAGAAGGAAATAGAGAGACTGAGGCAAGTTTATGAGCAACAGAAGCTGCTGAAGAGAGGCAACTCAGTGAACAACAACAACAATATGAATGGCAATTCATTGCCTTTTGCTTCTGTTGAGAAGGAACAGCTTCTCAGTTGACACCGCATTTGCCTAATTTCTCCTAATTAACTCCAACTTACATGCTGCCATTTTTATTGCAACTTTCATTCTGTGTGTTCATTCATGTTACCCCCTTTATTTTTTTCCCTCTGGGTGGGACAGGGAGACCAAAAATTATGGATTTATGTTTGGATGCATGAAAGATGTCAGAGAGAATTCATGTTCTCTTCTCTTGTTATTTGCCTTTTCTTTTATTTTTGTTATTCTGCTCTGCTAATTCAGTCTTTTTTGTCTTGATGTAAGCAAAAAAAGAAGAGTAAATTATAAGGGTAATTTTTGTTACTGCTAGATGAAACTTGAGAGTTTGTATGCATGTAAAGATTTTTGTGGCTGAAGTTCATGTTCATGTTTAATTAAGAGCTCAGTCATGTTGAGCCGAAGATCTTTTGAGCAAGCTCGCCAGTCAACTTTATTTGGCAAATCCTTGTGATTGCTTAGAAAAAACTGTTTTATGTCTCATATATTTACTCGTATAATTCAAAATCACTTAATTTAACCAACCTATTCCATATAACGTGGAAAAAGATGAAGGTATTACTGCAAAAGAGATGGTCGCAATTATTGGTGCCGCTAATGTGATGTAAAACAATCATTTTAAAATGTAAAAGCATCCTCCAATATTGAAAAGGTGAAATTGGTCTTGTACTGGTTTTACATAAAGTGAGCAATAAGCTTCACACAGATAATCTGACCGGGAAAAAAAAGAACAACTTTACACAGCTAAACTTGGGCCTACTAGTGTCTTCATCTCTCGTCACAAATGGGCACTGGATGGCTCCAAAAGTAATGAAATGATGAGAAATGAGCCCTGAGAGCTCGGCCAAGTCAAAAAAAATGAAAAGGCCTTATTCTTAAATTGATATGAGGAAGCAATTTTTTTTCTAGTTAGGCAGAGGATCTTCTTGTTATTAGAAGTCATGTTGTTTTACCCATCGTCCGTGGGTTCAGTGGTGAGGGGGTTGGACTTAGTGCCTGGTTGTCCACTTTGGCACGGGTTCGATTTCTGGGAGTGGCACTTTGTTGTGCCTCCATCGCGACGCTTGGGGAGGCATATTCGCAGCCTTGTGAAGCGGGGTTCCTCTGGGGCTAATTCCCATGAGGTTAATGCTCTATAGCCAGGGGGAGGTGGAGGCATGTGTACTCTCCTACTTGGTCCGTGGGCCCGTGGAGCGGGGTTAGTTTCCCTGCCCTTGGATTGGGTTGAGCCCAAACCCCTTCCTAAAATTCTGTCACCAAAAAAAAAAAAGAAGTCATGTTGTTTAAGGTACTATTTGACACTATAAGTACCTTTTCTAATAAGAATTTAAACCTTAATTCATTATGTTATGAGAGACTAGTACTACTTCCGGTCCTAATTATAAGAGTCAGTTGATTAATTTGAGGAGACCAAGGAGAGTTGAATTAGTTATTTGTCCTAAATAGGTGTTGTCTTTTCTAAAATATTCTTACTAATCAAGTGTATTGACTAGAACTATTATTGTTAAAAGAGCTAATTTGAAAAAAAAAAGTATAAATATGAGAGACAAAGTGGATTAAAATCTTATATTTAGGATCAAAGTAAAAGTTAAATAAAGTCTATATTAAAAACCGGAGGTAATATATTGGACCTAGCCAGCATAGGCTATTACAAGGAAGCAAACTTGTTAGAGATGCTTGGTGCCATGAGGTTGTTTTTGGATAACTGTGTCATAGAATCCTTTCCAAAAAAAAAGCAAATACTATTATTGAGGGAGAATCTTGGCAAGCAAGGAGATCACGGCGGACAAAAAAGAATATTTGATGGTGTAAATTCGATTGAAAGCAGAGCCACGGCCCTGGCACAGATTCTCAACTTTGGGTTCTCTCTATTATCCATACAAATACAGCAATATCATGCCATTTAGGATCCGATCCTGCACCTTGTACACTCTTTTGACTGAATTTTATAAATTGTTAAAAAAACTGAATTTTATAATTAAAAAAAAAAGAGGAAAAAAATCTCCTATTAATCGAAAGTTTAATTGCTCCCTCCTAATAAGTTGAGTGATCATTTTTTTTTCCTTTAACAATCTAACGGTCAATTGCATGACGGGCATTCTTTTTAAAAATACGTAATATCTGTTTCTTTAATAAAAAAGGAAAGATTTTAAAATGGTACGGTAAGGGAAAAGGTATGATATAGGGAGAATTACAATCAGATCCTAATAATGAGATTTAATTATCTAAGTGAAGGGTAAATAATACTCCTCTGATCCTTAATATAAGACTCATTTAACTAATTTGATTAGATTAAGGAAGTTAGGTAAATTAGTTAATTATAAGAAAAGTGACACATTTTTCCTAAAACACCATAATCATCTTTCTTAATACCCCTCTTCCTCTTCTACTTGATTATAGTTAGGGGAGTATCCATAGGGGTAATTTAGAGAAAATTAAAAAATACAAGAAATGGGTCTTATATTTAGGACCAAAACCAACTCAAAAATTGGGTCTTATATTAAGGACCGGAGGAGTAATAAATTTTGGAGTATAAAATAACAACAGGTTCAAACTAGTCATTTATTATTGGGACTTTTTAATAATTAATTTTTTTTAAGGATTTCTGTAATTCTCTCCATAATTTACGAGGGGAGATAGATTTTACGGGGTGGGTACAAACAAAAAGGTTATAGTTAGGGAAATGTGTAGGAAAAGGACAAGACTGTCACTGGCTAGATCTCAAGGCGGTGACTGGTCGTAATCCATCAGGACGGGTGTAAGGCCCATGAGAACTGAGAAGACCATCCATGTGGACACCACATTTTGCGATGCCTAAGCTTGTGCAGGATATGCCATGTGTGGTGTGCCCGCATCTCTCCGGTTCTTTTCACCACCAAAACGACATTTATTAATTAACATCTTAATTATAAATAAGTCTTGTGAATTTACAATATATCCTCTCTAGTGTGGGGTTACAGTTATTTCTCATAAAATATTAAAATAATCCTAAATAAAAATCGTTTGTTATTGGAGAGGTCTACTTAATTAGTTCAAAAGTTTTGCAATTAGCCGTGAAAGAGTCTGGTAAAAAGGGATTTTACTTTTCTGATTTTATTTATTAAGCAAAGAGATAAGGTGATTTTATTATACTTATAAGTTATTTTATTAATTTTTGTAACATGAATATATCATTTTAATTTTTACTTCTTTGGTCTTAAAAATAAAACCCACTTTATAGTATGATTTACAATATAAAACGAGTCTTTTATTTATGATCAGAATATTTATTATTGTATGGATTATTACTTTCTTGGAATGCATATATATTAAGTATTGTTGAAATTGAAAAATTATTAAATTTTAAGATAGAGTTAATGATATTTAAGATTTTTTTTATTTTAATGGAAAATGTTGAAAATGATTTATAAATAACATGAGATGATTATAATAAATTGATATCACTTCCAATCGTTAATGTAAGATCTAGCTTGATATTTAATTTGGTTCTAAATATAAAACTTTAATTTATTTTGTTTTCAGTATTTATCTATTTTGTCATCCAGTAATTTTAATGGTAATTACACATGTTAAGAAGTTACTATCAATTTGTAATTCAAACAAGTATAATTAATAAGTGTATTTTAGAAAATACAACATGTATTTATTACAAATAACTAATTTACTAATTTTTTTAATCTTTTTAAATTAATTAATTGGGTTTTATGTTAAGCATAGTAGGTAGCAATGATTTTAAAACCGGACCGGACGGTTAGACCGGTTCGACCGGTGACCAGAGAACTTTTCGGTTCGTCTTGCAGGGTTTAGCCGTTCATCTAGTTCAACCGTCCTGGGCTGCTTCAAGTCGGCCCTTAGGCCGGTAGCCAGAGTTCACCCGGAAGCCGGAGCGGTTTTTCAAAAACCGAACGGCCGACTTGTGTCGCCTAGAATGTTGAAGAAAAATCGAAGTCCATCTCCAAAAAGCCCCCTTAATCCCCAATCTGTGTCACTGTCTCTTGTTCATTGTTTAGTCTATCCTCCCTTCCTCTCGACATTCAACAGAAAGTGAGAAACTAAGAATTCAGACGCTCCATTCCCTGGATTTTGACAGTCGCTCTCTCGCTCGACTATGAATGTGAAGACGCAATACAGTATGCTGCCACTGAAATTCTGACCTTCCATTGCTTACCCATTCAGATAGAGTACGCCGTCAAAATTACTACCTCAAACTTCAAGCCTTGTCGTGCAACTCTTCCACTGTTCTCTGCTTTTAAGTTACCGAGTCATGAGTTGCAGGCTTGGAAATAAGGTGAATAGTGAAATCAATGTGAAGGATCAGTTATTGGCGGAGAAAGAGAAAGTGATATTTTATATTTACTTTTTTGTTTGTCTTTTGTGGGATGTACGAGTCGAGAGGGACCGCCCATTACCCTCTCTAGTATTAATTTAAAAAGAAGATCAACGGTGGTTTGAGGGTGAGGTGCCACTATAGTTTTTCTTTAGTTCTATATTTATTGTTAATATTTATATAATTATATAAGTATATAATATTATTTTTTATTTAATTATTACGTCACCGGTCCGATCATCGGTCTAACCGATCTGACCGTATGAACCATGACCCGCTGATCTTTCTGGTTCTATATCCGGTCTGACTTTTAAAACATTGGTAGGTAGTATAAAAATACTCCCTAAATCCATTCTTATTGGCTGGGACAATGACGAGCTAACGATGACCGTTGACTGCTGACCCAGTCATAAAATGAAAGCAAGATGAAAATGTCATTACGAACGCAAAACAATGTGAACTTGTTTTATAAATGTGAAAGTGTGTTCCCCCCCCCCCCCCCCCCTATAAATACTCATTAATTTTTTTAACGCTTTCGGCTTCAGGGGTTCAGATCCCTGTTTCGAGGAAGAAGGTGATGGGCCACCCTCCACAATCCACATGCGCGACGTGCGTTGCTGGGATTGGATTCGGAAAGAAGTCGAAGATGATGATGACCGCCGAAGATATTTCTCTCTTCCCAGAAAAGAGTTCTGAACGTACAGAGAAGATGATCTTTTTGTGTTTTCTCCTTTTTGTGCGAGAGAAGAGGGAAAGTGCTGTACTATAAGGGGGCATTAGTGATTTTTAACAGTTTAAGTATGATCATCTCTACCGACGACATCTTTAAATATAAAAATTAGTTAAAATTTAATTTGTTTTTAATATTTATTCATTTTGACTCAAGTATTGATGAGTTTTCATTTAATGGTAGTTTCAATTCACGTTATTAATATAAGTATTTTTGAAAAAAATAAGATTAATTTATTACATATAACTAACTTAATAATTTTGAATACAACAGATTAATTATTTAGTAGGAGGCTGATGAGGTTAATCCATGAAAAATGGTGTGTAAGGACTGAAGAATGTATATACACACACATTTATATAATCAGCAATAGTCTATGATGATATATTTTTTATGTAAAAATGTGCAAATCGTGAAAATAAAGAAAGCGAGTTGCGTTTTTTTTTTGGGGTGGAAAATTGAACTCACTGTTGGCATGTTCTTAGATTCTGACAAGGAAGAAGATAAGATATATATATTCCACGCAACTTACTGATTCTCCATTGTCATTCTTGATAAGTTGTCATTGACTTGATGTTTTTGGGATGAAATTTGTTTAATTTGATAAATAATGCCATTGACGAACCTGCTTAAGCGAATCAAGACCCAGCAGGGGTTGGCTGGCTTTGAAGACAAATAAATCATATGAGAAAATAAAATTCCAGATCAATAAATCGGATTTATTTATAATTATGATTGGTTATCACTTATTTGACTTGAATCCCACGAGTATCATGTGTCGCTCCAAATATCTTGGTGTCGCCGAGCACCAAGCGAACAATAAAATAAATCAAAGCGTGCCATCTCAGGTAGCTTTCAAGTGCGTAGTTGAGTGGGAGAGTGGACCTGTACGCCGGCGTGCCTCTGTCAGAACTCAGACTAGCTATGCCCTATAGATTCTGATTTACCAAAGGATTTTGATTTCATTTTGCTCAAAGCGTGTAGGATTGTTTAGGTATAAATCTTTTCTTTGTAGCATAAGAGTTTTCTCATACAAGAAAACTTTAATTTTTAATGAGATGTTTGAATTATTCTTCCAGAAACAATTTTATAAAGTGTGAGATGTGTGGTGAATATATAAGAAAAATTTTATCTTGATATAAATTTTTTTCAAGTGTTCTTATTCGCAAGTACTCGTAGAGGTAGTATGAGTACTCGCAAATTTGAAAACTATGATAACGTTTGAACCAGCAAAAACATAAATAATTTGGATTTATGTCCGCACCAACACAACTTTCACCCTGGAATAAGGTCAACATGTTCGAGCAGAGCAGCAATAACTGAAAAATTAAAATGCAGAAATAGAAACAAAATCATCTGTAACTTTGAGCATCATTTTTACAGGTTCTCACTATTAAATACATATATTTTTTTGGTTATATATTGAAAGAACAGAAGATATTATTTAGTATTCGAATTAAATTTTCTCATTAATTTTTGGCCACACCTAAAAATATTGTTAAATTAATTAATACGTCTATGCGCCACCGGGTAAGATCACCTCATAACCAATCAAATTTTTGTAGTACATCTGAGTCACTATAAGGATTTCTTTTGTTTTCTTCCGCTACTGTCCACACATATCAATTTTTTCCTCTTTTTGTTTTTGTGTTTTTCTTTTCTCTGAGCAACCCCGGTTGTTAAGAGTTTTTTTAAAAACTTTTTTGCTAAGACCCTGACCTGGTTGTTAAAGTTTACTTCATGATATATAATAATTATATATACACACACAACACAACAAGAATCTGTTCTTCACCTCAGACTACGGATGCCCTGAGGCGTTTTCTGCAACTCCGTCAAAATTTGTCAGCAACTATATCAAATGAGAAACGTTTCAAAACCAGCATGCTTCATCTTCATTCTTCTTCTATCAGTAGTTCTTGAGGTTGAAGGGCGTTATCTTCAACACAGTGCTTCTTCTGCATTGTTCACTTCAGATGGAGTTGACGAGGATGGTGTTCAACCCCAGAAGAATTCTCACTTGTTTCTCAGGGGGAATACCGGAAAAACCGAACCCTTTGAAGAACAGTGTGAGCAAATGTACGGCTTCTTGCCATGTTCAACCAGCATGCTTGGTCATCTCTTTCTGATTCTGGTTTATGAGTTCTTGTTGTTCCATGGGGAATCATACTTGGCTTCTGGGGGTGAGCAGATCTTCAAGATTCTTGGCCCTGGGCTTTTCGGTGCAAGTGCCTTCGATCTTCTTGGTGCCCTTCCTGAGTCTTTGATTCTTCTTGGTATGCTAATTTTCTTTTTCCTGTTTCTTAGATTTTTCTTAACTTGTGGCTCTAATCTATGAACATGAAGATTGAACTTGAAATTTGAACAACTTTTGGATCTTAAAAATCTGCATTTTTAGCAAGTTTTATGTCTCTCATATTTCCACTGGCTATAATATTATTATATTAGTTTCCTGGAAGACTACATCAAGTCTTGCTAATCTCTACCAAAAGACAAAGTCTTGGTCATCTTTTAAAATCCAAAGAAATCCCAAATGCCAGTGCATCTGAGATTATGAAATAAATTGCCTGAACCTATCTTCAGCTTGGAACTATCTGAATCACATGGCACTTAAAGCATGCCAGTGGACAGTCTCTGAAGAACCTGCTTCATCTGGTTCTGCTGTACATTTCTATCCTAGTATCCGTAACAAATTGAAATAATCTGTGCGGACCACTTTACCATTTTTCTTAGAGATTTTGTGATATCATTTATGAGATTCTGTTTTGTTTTTGTTATTAGTTACTGGGCTTTCCAGAGAGACCAAGGAGAGTGCTCAAGAGTATGCTTCCACTGGAGTTGGCATGTTGGCTGGATCATCCATCTTGCTTCTCACAATAGTTTGGGGAACCTGTGTCATCACTGGCAGGCAAAACTTGAAAACTGACTCAAGGAATAGATCCTCTCATTATTCAAATTCATCAAGGGCAACTCCTAAAGAATTATTAGCTGGTTTTTCCTCCATCTTTCTCTTTAGTTTCTATGCTTATTAATTATTTTCCAATTGTTAAGTGGTATCTGAACTACCCAGACCAAAAGAAGTAAAGAACTATGCAGTTGATATATGGAAAATATTATACCTCCCGAAACCACACATTAAGAACTGAAGAGAAAGTGGTATTAAACTACACGTGATTGAGATAACAGACGCATGAGGATCACATGGCATCTTTTAGCTGGGTTTGACGTTGTCATTTTAGTCTCAAGTTTGTAAAAATGTTTTTGATGCATTAATATAGGTTCCCTTTGATATTTGTAAGCAACGTATGAAACCATTTTGTTAATATTTATTTATTTTTATTTGTTTCAGATTCTTCATTAGTGATTACTTCCTAGCATTGCCTCTCACATGCATCTGATTTTTTCTTTTTCTTGGTCTACTAGGTTTTGGGATTACTATTGATAAAGAGACAAAGGAAATGGCAAGAATCATGATTCTCTCAGTTATACCGTTCATAATTATGCAGATCCCCAGTGTGTTTCGATTCTCTGCAGTGCTTCGCTCTGTGACCCTGATGGGTGCTCTTACCGTTACTGTCATTTTTGTCTTGTTGTACTTCATTTATCAGGTAATTCAATCCAACAATTTCTAACTCTATTAACATTAAACCTTAACAAAGGGAAAAAACTTAACAGACTTATGACGTGTGGAGAGAAGGAATCAGCATTCGTGATGCTAAGTCATAAAATTCGATGGAGGAATCAGATAGCAAAGAGAGACTTAAAAAATTTATCCAATGCTTTTGTCCATATGATTCTCAATGCAGTTAATGTCAGTCCATGAGAAAATTTACAGGAGAATGACTTCTTGTTTGCTCGTAATCTGCAGATATTTAAACCTCATATAGAGAAAACAAGGCTGGAATACATAAAACATCATGACTTAATATTGAGAATTTTCGAGCATGTTGAAAAGCAAACCCTTCAAAAGATCCTCACTGAGGATGGATCTCCCAATGTGGCAGCCATTAATGGGTGAGTAAGAAGATTTAATGGGGAACTTGTCACAGACTGTTAAATACATGACTAATCACAAATACTTGATAATGCAGGCTATATAACGAAATTAGTCAACACGGTGGAGAGAGGGATTTATTAGCTTCTGAAGTGAAAGAACTGCTGCTCAAGAACAAATTAACCGGGACAGACATCTCAGAGGGACAAGTTGAAGACATGTTAAGAGTGTTTGATCGAAATGGTGACCAAATTATAACCAAGGAAGAGTTTGTCACTGGATTAACACAATGGATTGAGCAAACGAAGCATGCTTTGGATAAACAATACATGCCAAGAAAATCACTCCAGAACATTTATCAGGTAGATATAACATAATATACACCATGCATACATTTTACTTCTGCTAAGTTAAGCACGTCCTCATTACTGCATTAGTTGGTGAATGTGAAGAAAAAATATGGTTTTGGAAAACTTGAAGGAAATATGAGATAGATGTAAAGCAGAATGCTAACTGATCTCGCATTACTAGGGTTTCCTCAAGCCATGGATGGAACACATGAGAAAAGAGCGTGAGATTAAGGGACATCTTGTATCTGAAATCTTAAGGCATGCTCAGAGCGATATGGTTGTGCAGCTTCTCAATGATGATGGAACTGCGGATGAGTCTGCTATAAGAAGGTATCAACTATAACCCTAAACCAAAAACTCACAGTTACTTACTTTGAAGATTCCGAAAACACAAAATTAACTGTCATCTGAACATAAGGTTGTGTTCGTTGTCCCAGAAACAAGGACTTGATAAGATTTTTGTTGTGTGTCATATATGTTGGTGAGCATTATTAACACAGATATGATGTAACAGGTTGTTTGAGGAAGTTGATAGCAACAGAGATAACAGTGTTTCTCAATCCGAGATACGGAAACTAGTGACCAACCTCCACTTTGGCAAGGCAGTGGATGAGGAGGAAGCAGTCAAGAAAATAATTCAAGATTTTGATATAAACAGTGACAATGTAATTACTGAGGAAGAATTTGTGGATGGATTCACAAAATGGGTGCTTTCATCTTCCAAACAAGCTCCACACTCAAAACCTCAGCCTCACCAAGAAGAAACTCATCAGGTATTTGCACTATTCGTTTCTCTTCTGCAGTTTTTTTCCCGAGAAAATGAATTAATTAGTCTGCCCCATTAAACTTAGTCCCTTACGGTTGGTCTCTACACTCTATTACTTAGTTTTGACTCAGTCCTTGAGTAGCTAGATGATTTTTTCAAAGTGTAGAGACCAAGATATTAAATGGACTAAACCTTAGGAATTGAGTCGGACAAATTAAACTATAGTACTGAGCTGTAATCGAATCAAAACCACATAGACTAAATGATTCATTGTTTATAATGTTTTGAACACTTGATGATTCAATTTTCCTTTTTCTTCCTTCTTCTTTCTTGTTTTTTTTTTTTTTTGTATTAGACCTGGGAATATGTAGAGAAGGTTGTGGAAGAGAAGCATCAGCACAAAGGAATATATGGATGGATCATGGCTATAATAAATGTGGTGGTAGGAATCACTATATTATCTATTCTTGCGGAGCCATTAATAGCAAGTGTCCAGAAATTTTCTGCGGCAGCAGGAATCCCATCTTTCTTTGCCTCTTTCATTTTAGTCCCTCTGGCCACAAATTTTAGAGAAGCGACCTCAGCCATCAAAGAAGCTAGCCACAAGAAGAGAAGTAACACTTCTCAGACAATGTATGAGGTCAGTCATGAGCAAATCACACTAATCTACTCTCTAGTTAATTAAATTATAGTTGACACCCCTCTTTGTTTTAAAAATATCCCTTGATTGATTCTCTTAATATTTGACTAAATTTTATCTAAAAACTTACATTTATAAACAAAATTAACTTTCTAGATTTCCCTTCTAGAAAGAAAATTACATAGCTGGATGGTGACTAAGAGATTTAGGAAAATTTCAGTAAAAAGTTGATATATTCTAATCATTAATTTTGAAATGCAGATTTATGGAGCAGTATTTATGAACAACATTCTTGGATTTTCGGCAATTGCAACTCTGATATATGTGAGAGAAATAACGTGGGAATTCTCAGCTGAAGTGCTGGTTGTGGCAATCGTCTGTTCTGTAATGGGCCTGTCTGCAAGTTTTCGGCCCAATTTTCCTCTGTGGACATCCTTCGGCGCATATCTTTTGTATTGGCTGTCTTTAGTTCTGGTTTATGTTCTCAATGATGTTCTTCATTATGAGTGAGCCACTCTTTGAAGATCTTGACCAACTCAAAATGATATTATCAGGATAGTGACCAAACTTTATAATTTATCATGCTTCAATGACTAACGATAATGTGTAACTAAATGTATTGTTATAGGTTTAGATTTTAGTTACGTCTAATTTTCAATATCTTGATCTTGCTTGTGATCTGATTACACCTTTATATTTATAATAAATGAACATTGTATGATCTGTTGATCCGAAAAAAGAAAAATTATCAAATTGCGTGCTTTCCCACGTCCCATGAAGTTTGACTTTTTTAAGGTTCCGTTTGGTTCTCAACTTTGATAAATTCCTGGGATGGACATCGCGATTTCTGTGCTTGAAGCTAGTTTTTTTCGTTGAGAAATACTACCTCCGGTTTTTAATATAAGATCTAATTTGATATTCAATTTGATTTTAAATATAAGATCCCAATTTATTTTATTTATCATATTTATTTATTTTTTCTAAAATAATCTTTTTAATAGTTGTACATGTTAAATGTTTTATTAAATGATAGCTTTAGTTATAACATATGATTAACAAAGATATTCTAAGAGAGATAATACTTATTTATTATAAATAACTAACTTAACAAATCTTTTTAATCTTCTCAAATTAGTCAATTAGTTTTTATATTAATAACCGGAGGGAGTAATTAAACTCTTTAATTTGAAGATTGTTGACGGGGCCTAAAATGCTTTATCTCAAACCTTAAACAGACTTCAAAAGACAAATCTTAAACAGCCTGTGTGTTGATGTGTTTTGCCAAATAAAGAATTGGACCACGTCAATTTTTTTTCCAGAAGTTTGAAAGTATGAAACTGTATGACATTCAATGACTTTACTTGTGCGTCTTGATTTTCTTATTTCCACTATTTCTTCATGTACTTCTTAACAACTACTTCATAATAAGGAGACGAAGTCTTTCTGTCCTTCACTTGGGCAACAACCAAGCAAATCATGAGAACCATTTTGAGAAAATTATGCTTTGTTTTATTCATTATTTTTGCAGTAACGATTGTGGTTGAAGGGCGTCATCTGAACCCCGGAACTTTTCATAACGAATTGGTTTCAGATGGAGTTCATGATGATGAAAATGAACTTCAACAAGACAAAACAAACTTACTTTTTAAAGGCATTGAATTTGAACCAAATTCTCAAGAAGAGTGCAAGCAAATGTATGGCTTCTTGCCATGTTCAAACAGTATTTTTGGCCATCTGTTTCTGATTTTGGTTTATGAGTACTTGTTGTTCCATGGAGAATCGTATTTGGCTGACGGAGGTGAGCGGATCTTCAAGATTCTTGGTCCTGGGATTTTCGGTGCAAGTGCTTTTCACATCCTTAGTGCCCTTCCAGAGTCCTTAATTCTTCTTGGTATGCAACTTCTCTTGGAAGTAAAACCGCATTTTAATTTGATCCTCAGATTATTTCGAACTCTGTTATACTCAAACAGTTATTTTGATCTAATTCTTGTCTTTATAGAGATAGCGTTTCTACTCATGGTGATTTTCTTTCATCTCGGCTCTAGACTCGCCAAGTGTCTTTAGTTAACTGTTTGATTTTGTAGCACGTGTTTTAATTCTTCAGGTTGTGTTTAATCAGAAAATCTAGGGAATGAGTTTAAACGTGAGTGAAGTTTTAAATATGACCACAAAGATGCAGCATTGCTTATGATTATGAAATTCACAAGAAGCAAACATATCATAATTCAGCTTCATTGACTCTTGAGTTGTTTTGCATAATTCTTAAATGGAAGTTAGAACTGGCTTGGATCAGAGAAGTCTATACTTGTGAAGCACTTTAATTCTTAATTGCGTGCAATATTTAAATTTGATGAATTCCAAACGTATGATTCCACCTCTATCTGATGTTGATAAAATTAAATACATCAATCTAAGAAACCTTTCTCATGTCTTACATCCCAATTACAAATATGTCATATTTGCTTTATCAGCTATGTGATTAGTGTTTATTATCAGTCTCTGGACTTCTCAGCAGTAAGGAGATTGCACAAGAGTATGCTTTTACTGGAGTTGGCTTATTGGCTGGATCATCCATCTTGCTCTTGACAGTGGTATGGGGAACCTGTGTTATAACTGGGGCCCAACAAGTTAACAATGATTCGAGTCTTAGAATCTGTGATGATTCTAATTCAATACCAACAAGACTAAAATCATATTTGACTGGTCTGTTCCATCTCAATTCTCTAATTATGTTCTAACGTCAACTGCATTCACATCATTGGTCAACATAGAATACTGTTTCAAATTCTCAGAACTACCTGCTTGACACGTCTGACAATTTGTGAGATTTTAGGTTATGGCATTACTACAGATTTGGAGACCAGCCACACTGCAAGAATCATGCTCGCCTCTGTCATACCACTCATAATAATGCAATTCCCTAACTTGTTTCAACTCTCTTCTGGGCCAAGAACGGCGACTTTGATAACTGCTCTCATCATTACTGCCATTTTTCTGCTCTTGTACTTCACTTACCAGGTTTCCAACCATCACATTTCTCCTAGTATAAAAGTTAACCTATGCATGGCCTTATAAGAAAAGTATTATGATGATTTACTTTATAAAGGAGAAGAGAATGCATGCGGGGAGTAGTGGACAAGAAGAAAATGTTTCTGCCAATTGACTTCCATTTTGCTCTTAAATCTGCAGATTTTTGAACCTTGGATACAGAAAAGAAGATTGGAATATGTGAAGCGAAATCATTTAATAGTAAGAATATTACGACATGTTGAGAAGAGTACCCTGGAGAGGATCCTCACCAGGAATGGATCTCCAAATATAAGTGCCATAAGAAGGTGAGATTTCATCAAAAAGCTCTTCCGGTAGATGAGAATTCTGCTTTCTTGTCTACAAGGGTTCTATTTAGTTCACCACAATGGCTATCTATATATTGCAGGCTATTTAGAGAAGTGGATCAAAATGGAGACACTGTTGTATCAGCTTCTGAAGTAAAACAGATCCTGCTTAAGACTAAATCAAGTGAAAGAAGTATCAGTGAAGAGGAAATAGAGGACATGTTAAGAATTTTTAACTTGGATGATGATGAAAATAGAATAACTAAGGATGAATTTGTGTCTGGCTTTATAAAATGGCTTGAACAAACCAAATTTGCTTTGAATAAACAATATATGTCAAGGAAATCACTCAAGGAGTTATATCAGGTACTAAATGCACCTCGTGACTTAGAATTCCACACATTCATGTTATAGTTACATGAATTTTGAAATTGGAAGAGCACTTGAGAAGCCGCTGACTCATTTTGTGTTTCTGACAAACTTGAAAAAAATCTGACAGGTTTTTGAGCCATGGATTGAGAATAAAAGAAGAGAACAAGAAAGGAAGAAACATATCATATCTGAAATCTTCAGGCATATTCAGAGCGATTTGGTTGTCAGCCTCCTTACTGATGATGGCAAACCTGACGAAATTGCTATTAGAAGGTTAACATCTTGAATTCTTCTTCTCACCTATCTAGGCGCAAGTATAATAACAATGAGAATGATAATACGCCTTGACTAGATTAAAATCATGTAATGCTAGTTAATAATACTGGAATTATGAGTTGAACAAGTGAGTTCATATCCACTAATTTCACAGGTTATTCGACAAGATGGATGCCAATGAAGATAACTTCATTTCCCGGCCTGAATTAAGAAAACTACTCAAGGAGATCAATATTGCTAAAGCATCAATAGATGTGGAGGAAGCAGCTAATAAATTCATTGAAGAGCTTGACGTTAACAGGGACCATGTGATTAGTGAGGAGGAATTTATTTCTGGGCTCAAAAAATGGCTCAGCTCATCATCTCCCAGTCGTGTTCATCCCTCAGAGTCAGAGTCAGAAGAAGATATACTTCAGGTAAGTGAAGCACAATAAAGCTTCCAATCTTACTCTTCTCTGTGTGGGCCAAAGACCCAGAAGTTAAAACTGATACCATATTGCTGTGATTAAGATGTGGGAAGAGACAGATATGGTGGTGGAAGAAAATCAAAGCGAAGCAGTGATTGATAAATCGGTATGGGCATGGCTGAAGGCAATAATAAATGTAGTGGTGGGGATTGCCATGTTATCTGTCCTTGCAGAGCCCTTGATAGAAAGTGTACGCAGGTTTTCAAGCGGTGCAGGAATTAATGCATTCTTCATCTCATTTATATTGGTCCCATTGGCCACTAATGCTAAAAAAGCAATTTCTGCAGTCAAAGAAGCAAGCCATAAGAAGTCCAGAACTACTTCTCTTTCCATTTCTGAGGTTAGCCATCATCTCATCATCATCCTTCATTTCTCCAATAATAACTTAATCTATGAAGGAATTTTTTAAGGATTTGGAAGAAATGATTTTGCAGATATATGGAGGGGTGTTCATGAACAATGTGCTGGGATTCTTTGCGATCTCAGTTCTGATATATGCTAGAGGAATCACATGGGAATTCTCAGCAGAAGCACTGGTTGTGGCTCTGGTTTGTATTGTGGTGGGGCTTGCTGCCAGTTTTAACTCCACTTTTCCTATATGGTCTTCCTTCTCTGCGTATCTCTTGTACCCATTCTCTCTTGTCCTTGTTTTTCTCCTCAAACATGTTCTTTCCTACACTTGAGCACAATTTGGAGTGCACCTTTCTTTTATCACACATGTTGACTCTGACCATACCATTGAATTTCATAATTTATAAATAAATGTTCACATAAATAGCATCCATCATGACTTATCAATTCTTGACATGAAGAACTCAGAAAATAACAAGCCAAACCATGTCTACTCCAGTAGTTCTTTTTATCGGGATCAAACGAAACACATGCAACACACAGGCACAGATTTAAACTTGTGGTTTCCCTATCAACAAGGAGCATCGTATTATTAGACTCAGAAAGAATACAATAGCTATTTGTAAGATTTCGTTCATGCAAATTTGTTTGGAAAGTTTTTACTCATGATGATAGATATTCAGAAATTTTTTTAGCTAAAAATTTATTCTGAAAATTTAAAATCATAATAATATTAAACTATACCGTTAAAAAACTAATATTAACCATTAAAATAGTGATGATATTTTTAACTGCAAGAAGTGACGTTACTATGATTGTAAACTTTCGGAATAAATTTGCATAAAAAAAAAATTTCAGGTATTGAAAGTTTCCGAGGACAAAACTACAGCTTAACGATCTGATGTGATTGAGATACAAAATTTCAAACCAGGAAAAATAGAGGCATAAAAATGCTGAAGTCAGGGCGATTAATCTAATAGAAATTCATGATCCAGGAAGTAGCCATGTGGAGGATGGAGATTTGGCAAGAGCGGTATGCCGCATTTATTGTCATATTTTTTTTTCCCTATTGTCATTTGTAAATTATTTTATACCCAAATCATGTGAAATTGAGCCACATCACCCAATCAATTCATTTAATTAAAATCCCCAAGTCCTTGTGTTTCCCATCCATCTCACGCCATCTCACCTGGACCCACTCATTAAGATTAGATCTACCCCGTGACTGGTGGATCTGAATATTCATAAAACTATTTTTTTAATTTTTCTTCAAAGCTTTTCAGGGCTTACAATATTATTAAAATGTCAAAGGTTGCGGATCTTTTAGAGTCACAGTTGAAGCAGTTCATTCGGGTCGGGGCAATTGGGGTTCATTCTTTTTTCTTTTGGGGGGGGGGGGGGGAGAATGAAATGGGGTAACGTAAAATCACGGATGTTATCGGTGATTTAAAACTAAACTAACAACAAGTGTTGGTTCAAGTAAAAAAATTTAAACATCATGTTGTGAGTTTGATCATTAGGACAGTGTGTAAAAAAATACTGTTGAGAGGGGTTTCTGTTACGATACCTGATAGTACCTTGAGATATTAGTCTGTTACCGTTCAGATAGGAGGATATTCTGGACAAAAAAAAAAAACTAAACTCTAAACTTTATTAATATGAATTTGACTTTGATATCAATAAAGAACATCATATTTCGTAAAATTAATATTAATAATAATTTACTATTTCCCTAAAATGTCTTTAAGTCTTATTTCAAAAATATTCTTATTAATTTTTACAGATATTATTGAATAGAAAAAATTCAAAAAAAACCTCTTGAAATTTAAAATTCTAAATCAATTTTGTTTACTATATTTAGAAAACAAATAACAATATATTTTTGTAGTAATTTTTTATTTGAGATTTTGAAATTTAAGAGGTATTTTTTTGGAGATTTTCTCTATTCAATGACATCATACTATTTTGAAAAACTAATCTATTGCTTCTTTAAAATTTCCTTAGCCTTTTTAAAATAAATACTACTCTTAATATAATGCATTTTTGGAATCTAAGATTAACAAAGGACAAAAAATAAAATAAATGATTTAATACATTCTTGAAATCTAAAATTGACAAGTTCCATAAAATATGGAAAATAATAATTTTATGACAGGTAATATGAAATTACCACTGTGTATTTTTGAGGCTAAACATGTAAAACATGGAATTATATCACCATATATTTAATCTTGCAAAGCATGCCGACCTATAATATATTTATTTGTTTATAACAACGTGCACCACACGACTTAAATTCTCGTTGTCTTGATACGTGTACGGTGATTAAAAATCACTCATAATCTTGCATAAAAAGGGAAAAAATTGACAATTGGAAAGAAAATTTCCTCATTAAAAATGTTATTAATAAGAATGATCCCATAAATTTTCCTACGTATGTGGTGATACACTACCTATTTTATAGATGCCGCATACATATACTCTATAATTAGGCCCTTTCAAAACTTTTCATTAATTAAATTTTGAATTAATATATTTTTAGTTTTTAAAATTTAACCTCGTTTTTATTTTGCCTCTTAAAATTTGAAGTTAATATTTTTGTTTTCTGAATTTTAACTCCATCTTGATCCTTCTAAAATTTTTGGTCATTGAAACAATATTTTTAAAAGAAAATTGGGATAAATCCCTTATTAAAAATTTAATTGGCAAATAAGACATAGGATGATTAATTATATAAAGAAAGATTAGTGGCATACAAAGGAAGGTAAATTGCATAAACAGAAGATGATTTGCACAGAACATTATTTGGATATAAAAAATTAGTTTGTACATAGTGAAAATGACTTATATATAAGAAAATTTTATTTGCACAAAGAAAAATTGTGCTGTATATCTCACAAAGGAAGATTATTGTACAAATTACACACAAGGGAAGATAAATTACATATAATAGAAGTTAAGTTGTACAAAATTCTTAAGTCACATTTGCTAATTAAATTTTTAATGAGGGATTTATTCCCAATTTTCTCTATTTTTAATCTAAAAATAAGGTGAAATTTTTAATTGATGAATTTTCAAAAAAAAAAAAAGGGAGGGGGGAATAAGTGCTTAGGAGTCGGCCACCTCACTGGTAAAATTGATAAATAATTAACCAGCAGACAAAAAAATTTACTCTCTTCTCTCTCCTCCTCTCTCTTCGAGCGCTTTCTGCCCAGGACCCGCTTCACATTCGCGGCATGCTGGATTGATTTGCTAGCTGCCTAGCTCCCACCTGCCGCCCCCACAGAAAGTTCTGATGAAAACGCCGTAAAAACCCGTCAAATATTCCCCTGTCGTTGTTTTCTTTTCTGTTGAATATCTCTCTGACTTCCTTCCTAGCCATACCTCACTTGGTATATGTCTTGTACATATTCCCTTACCTTCGGCTTCTGAATTTCTGATACTGATTCTCTTTATCCATGCCTCTTCCCACCCGTTTTACCCTCTTCTTTGTAATCCTACTCATCTGCGGTCACGCTCATGGCCGCCACGTTATCCGCCTTCCATCATCGTCTTCCTCCTCTGATCCGATCTCAGATGGAGTCTCTCGTGATCCTGTGCAGAGCAAGCACATACTGCTACCCCGGACGTTTCAGTTTCTGACGGAGTCCACCTGTGAACAGACGTATGGGTTCTTACCCTGCACCACTACTGTGCTTGGAAACTTGTTCCTCATCATCATCTATGGATTTCTTATGTACAAGGCAGCTACTTACTTGTCCAGTGGGAGTGAGCTCTTGCTTGAGATCTTGGGCCCTGGTATAGTTGGTGGCTTGTTCCTTCCCATCCTTGGTGCTCTTCCAGATGCCATGCTTATACTCGGTAAGGATTTGGTTCTTGGTATCTGTTTGGTGAACTGCGAAGTTTGATAGGAGCTCTTCTTTTCTCTCTGTGGGCGCTGTTTGTTTTGCTTGAGGGGGGGGGGTTTCTTCTTTTTTGATGGCTGAAATGACGGGATAAAACATAGGACGTCTGGTATAGTTGGTGGCTTGTTCCTTCCCATCCTTGGTGCTCTTCCAGATGCCATGCTTATACTCGGTAAGGATTTGGTTCTTGGTATCTGTTTGGTGAACTGCGAAGTTTGATAGGAGCTCTTCTTTTCTCTCTGTGGGCGCTGTTTGTTTTGCTTGAGGGGGGGGGGGGGTTTCTTCTTTTTTGATGGCTGAAATGACGGGATAAAACATAGGACGTCAAAAGATCTATCCGATATGTCTCGAGGGCAGGACTATGGAGGAAACTCGAGAGCCCGGTTTTTTTTTTTTTCTTTGCTCCTCCTGATTGGTTCCCGTGAGGACCGAGCTCTCAAAGGAAAGAAAGGTTCATGTTTTCAAACACCCCCAACGCCCCCCCCCCCCCCCCCCAAACAAAAAAAAAAAAGGTCAAAAAAGACCTCACCGGTTTGTCCAAGGCAGGAATAAGGAGGAAAATTGGGATAAATTTTCTGATTGGTTCCCTCAAGTACTGATTTTACTTGAACCGGAAACTTTGAACTTTTGATCTTATAGTCGGGATAAATTTTGATTGCATTAGTAGACCTTGGTGACTGAATTCAAGATCATGTAACTTTTCTATAATTTCTAAAATTATTTCGGCAAGTGTTTGCTGAACCATCAGCTATTCAGTTCCGTAAGTAAATCAAGGGTCCAGTATGTTCCTTGTTGTCCTTATTCTTTACTATCAAGCCAAGAGGCTTTTGTGTGAGGAGACATACCGGATTACTATAATAAAGCTATTTGTGCGCCATTAAGTGAAATGACCTTTGATACTGTGAACTTCGTTTCCACATGTGATATTGTATTTATGTTCAAATTTCTCTTGAGCGAAATCTTCTGATTATTGTTAACTTCCTTTTTGTGTTCATCTCACTATTAAAACTAATATCCACCAAGTTCTGTAATTTGCCTTTTATTGTTTCTAATCTGTTTCTCTCGTTTATTATAGTATCCGGGCTTTCTGGTAGCAAAGAAACCGCTCAAAGTCAGGTCTTTGTTGGAATGGGCTTGCTAGCTGGGTCAACAGTTCTGCTTCTGACTATTATTTGGGGAACCTGCGTAATTGTTGGGAAGTGCGACCTTGTGGATTCAAAAGCAATAGATTCACAAGACACGAGGGGGTTTAGCTTAACCGGTATGTATTTTTATGCTGCTCTACGTCACATATTTCATAATAGAGAGTCAGGTTAGCATTCTTTTCCTTTCCCAAGGTGAGGAAAAAGTCTTTATTTCTCTCAGTGGTCATCCAAGCAATATGCTCATTTAGTCAGCGTGTGCCTGGGTTTTAGGAAGTAAGTGCAGATGTTCTCAGACTGCTTTATGGTTACTCTTATAACGTGATATCGAGGCATAATCATTCTGATCAAAGCGGAAGAATGGAGCATAACTGGGAGTTTGACCAATTTTCTCTGAAACTTGGCCAACTGAGAATGAAACCTTGGTTAATTAAATGCAACATCTTCATGGCACATGTTCATTTGTAAATACTCTTCAATATTTTTTTAATGTTAAATGGGTGTCTTTAAGAGAAGTGGGAAATTGGAAATTAGAAGGAGGTGGTCAATATATACTGAATTGATGCTTCTTGTTGTGTCTCAGTTCTTAGTTGTATTGGTTTGTAACCTTGAGAAGGGTGCTAGGCAGAGTTATATATGACCTGCTATTTTCTTTTTCTTTTCTTTTCTTTTCCCCCTTTTGTGAGACCATTATTTCGGCATTTGTGCCATACTGTCCAAGTGTAGGAATTATCATTCATAAGGATCCTTTATTTAATATAACCTCCGATTGCAGGCTCCGGTGTTAGTACAGATATTTGGACAAGTTATGCAGCAATGATTATGGCCGCATCCGTCCTTCCATTTCTGATTGTTCAGTTACCACAAATTCTTAAGTCAACTTCAGGAAGGCACCTGGCTGTTTTGATTGCACTCATTGTCTCCTTGTCTCTGTTGGTTGCTTATTGCCTTTACCAGGTAAACTGTACTGTTACTTTATTGGCGATAGGTATCTATTTTGTTTTCTGAGCACTTCCATTATTGGGTTGACCGTATTTAGTATCTTTAGATATGCAATTGACCAATTTAGAGATAATTACCATACTTCTGATTATCTAGGTTTCCGTACATTTTATTTTATGACTCAGTGCGATTAGCAAGTATTTTACTTTTAAGCAGCTGCATTGCATCCAGCCTTAAATATATATATTTTATTTTTTGTAAGTAGCTGTGACTGGCACTTAGTGATCACTGCATATTGGAACTAAAATTTATGACCTCATTATTGTAAATAGTAACTTCTGAGAATTGTTTCCGTATCCTGATGAAATTGTGGGGTGGAAAATGCAGATTTTCCAGCCTTGGATACAAAAGAGAAAACTTGATTATGTGAAACACAAGCACGCTATTTTAGGCCTTTTGAGACACTTAAAGCAGCACGCATTGGGAAGGTTACTAAGAGATGATGGTGAACCTGATGAAGATATTATTAGAAAGTCAGCTGCTCTTCCTGATTGGACTTAACACATTTTTTTCCTATAGCATAAGTATTCTTCTCATATTTTCATCTTTTTTTGTTTTGGTAGTTACTAACTTCTCAATGGATATTAGTACAGGTTGTTCAAGAGAATTGATGAGAACAAGGATGAATACCTTTCTTACGGTGAACTAAGAGCACTAATTATTGGAATTGAATTTGAGGGGATTGACCTGGATCATGATGATGCTGTAAAAAGAATAATGGAAGATTTTGATACTTCTCGGGATTCACGTCTTGATGTAAATGAATTTTTAAATGCTATACGTAGATGGCTTCGAAGGGCTATGCGTTCTAAGGCTGCTTCTGGGGATGCTGGTCCGCAGACAATAAAGTTCTTAAACGATTTTCACCAAGTAAGTGGTGCTCTGCTGAACTACTTGTAGGAAGTCTGTCTTTATGGAGCTTCTGAATGGCTGACATTTTCTGTGCAGGAAACTGAAAGGGAACGTGATCTATTGCATGTGGGAAATCATAGCGATACAGTTGAGGAGGGTGTAGCTGATACTAAATGGAATGTTATCAAAGCAGTGCTGCTGCTGCTTCTTGGGGCTATCGTAGCAGCTGTATTTGCTGATCCTTTGGTTGATGCAGTTGATAACTTTTCTGATGCCACAAGCATTCCTGCTTTCTTCATCTCCTTCATCGCGCTGCCTTTTGCTACAAATTCCAGTGAAGCAGTGTCAGCAATCATTTTTGCCAGTCGTGATAAAAGGGAAACAGCCTCATTAACCTTTTCTGAGGTTTGCATTCTATTCTGCACTCTTCATTTCTGATAAGAGGGAAAATGCCTCACTAACCAAAACATAAAATTAAATGAAATTCTGAGGATCAATGGAGTGATTGAGCAAAAAGTTTTTATTCTGCTTGTAAAATAAGTAAGGAACTTGTATTTGAATTATGTTTGGATTCTGATTGCGATGTCTTTGCAGCTATATGGGGCAGTGACAATGAACAATGTGCTGTGCCTATCGGTGTTCTTGGCCCTTGTCTATGCAAGGGGATTGACATGGGACTTCTCTTCAGAAGTGCTGGTTATTGTCATAGTTTGCGTTGTCATGGGTCTCTTTGCCAGCTTCCGCACCAGCTTCCCTCTCTGGACGGCTATAATGGCTATCCTACTGTACCCATTTTCCCTGGTCTTGGTGTATGTTCTTGATTATGTGTTTGGCTGGTCATAGGCCTTGAAATGTTTTCAAATGTCATTACTTTGTTTGGTTTTTAATAAATTCAGTTGTCGGGATGTTTTGTTATTATAGTGTTCCTTGAGAGTGCTCTATGGTTGCCAGCCTCCTTTAGGTGTGAGACTTACATAATAATGATGAGATTGTCTTCAATTGATGTCATCTTTTTGCCCAGCGTCCTCATTTCTCCCTCTTGATGGCGAAAGAATGAAGATTACTCTGCTTGGACGATGAAGTTTATGGCTTAGTGATCAAATCAATCACTAATATTACGTATGTGACTTAGTAACACCGATACTAGCCTACTCATTAGATTTTGCGTTGATACCGTTGAACTAATTTTGGATATTTTAATGATCAGCGGGTATATGTGAGTGAAAGGAGTAGGTGAAGAGCCTCCTACTGAATGTTAAATATCCTTTATTGGGCGGTGCCTTATGCATGGGCATATGCTTTGTCCTTTGTTTTTTTTTTTTCAAAAAAAAATCTGTGTGGGCATTTGTGTCGGAGATAACCAAGTTCATATTTCGAAGAGCCCTGATGCTCACTTGAATTATTTTTCATAAAAATAAAAAACTAAAAGACTGGCCAAATGCCTCCCCAATTCACGTGCAGAATTTTGTCATTATATTACCACCAGTTAAACAAATACAATGACAAAAAATGGATACAGAAAAAATAAAAAAAATTCTAAAAGACACATCACCAGCAGAAATTCAGAGGCATTAGTTCCTCGCGTGAAAAGCAATAAGGTGTCTTTTCTGAAAGAGTCCGTTAGCGAGGAGCAGCCGGTGCGTAGAAGTAATAAAGAAAAGTATGTTCATAGCTTCAAATTCAAATCAACACTTTCTCGCACTCCATTACCATTCTGAGTTCTGGCAGCCGTTTGGCCTACTTGTGCTGCTTTTGCTACTGGCGGGATGAAGATATAGAATGGTTGCTGCAGTTGATTGAATCTACTGAATACTGGCGCTTGAGTAATTTGACCTTCTACAATCCCCTTTAGCATGCAAAATGAAAGCTAAGCATAGTCAATGAACGGGAAAATCTGCAAGTCAAGTGCAGTTAAATCCTATTAAAGTGTAGGAAACAATTATGATTTAAAATTTAGTAATTTTCAGGTTTTTTTTGTGTGGGATTTTCCCTCAATAAAATCAGCCAAACAGGAGAACAAAAATTAGTATAACTGATAGATCAGGATCACATGATAGGGAGAGGGGAGGGGAATCTCATACTAAGTTTTTATTGAAGTAGATAGTAAATACTTAAAAGAACTTCTGTAATAAAGGAAAAGGGTAAAATGAGTTTGCCAAAACCTGACAAGAATGGGAGTCTTGTTGAGGATATTCCTGATTGTGAAATGCTAGCACTGTTGGAGGAGACTTAGATTTTGAAGGCGGAGATGATGAAGTGGGTGTTGGAGTTGACACTGCGAGAATGCCTCCATTGAAATTCTCATTTACTGTGTTGAGTCTCTTTGAGTTTGCCTCTAAGTTGGATGTTGAAGAGGAAGGGACTTCTCTGTAAGATTTGATGAATAAGTAAACAATGGTATGAGGAAACTAAATCTGCAATTACAATGTAATCACCAAAAGATCAAACTGAAACAACCTGAAAGTTGCATTGGCAGCATAGTAAAATCCACTCCCGCTCCCACAACAAGTTTCGTTCATTTTCATAGGAGCAGCAATGGTAGGCAACCTAAAGTTAAAAGGGGCAGGTGGGACATCCTGAGAGAAGGGGTATGACCTTTTCATGCCAATCATCTGCACTTGAGTATAAAATATTAAAGTTTTATATAGAGATTTATATACTAGTAGTATATATGCAAACTCATCGCAAATTGAAAGGGAAAAAAACATCTCTTATCTAAATCCCTTAGTTCAAAATCTCATTGAATTAAGCAAGATATGTTAGTTACCCTTTGATTATTGAAAGAAAACAAGAGATTTTTTTTTTTGGGTCATAAAGGTAGAAGGAAAGTTGTCATTTTTATTCATTCATCAATTTGAGTTTTTTATGTTTTGGCATTAATATCAAAGATGTCATCGGATTTTCTCTGACCTAATTAAAATCGATCCACTATGTGATTTCAAACAACCTCTTTTGGTGAAATATTGTGCTTTTAGGAGAACCGAGACGACAAAAAGGAGCCATCTCTTCCTACCATGGAGATTAAAGGGTGAGGATTCAGACGGGGAGAGAAAACAAGAGAGAAATTTTGGTAGGCCCTACACGATAGATGGAACTCGCAAACGTCTCTCTTATTCAGGTAGAGAGAGAGAGAGAGAGAGAGAGAGAGAGGAAAAAAAATGGAGAAATTACGCTAAGGTGTCATCAAGTAAGAGAATTTATCATTATACTAATAACTTGTAAGGCCCGAGTGTAATTTTTTTAGAAAAAGATTTTGGTAGATCCAACGTGTGAGGTGAGACGAACATCTCTCTCTCTTCACCTATTCACCTGACCTCAGATTCATGCCTCATTTCGGCTAAATACCCACCACCAAAATTGTTACTTGTATTGTAATTATTCCTCAATTTCACATGAAAATAATCAAACGCCACATTCAAACAACTAAGATCAATCAAAATAGAGTAAACTATGAATAAAAGCACAGCTTGCAAGTACTTACCTTCTCAGGCTGCATCTGCAAAGGCATCCAGTGACCACTCTGGTTTTGGTTTGAAGGGGGCTCCATTATTGAGTAACGAAGTGAAGGTGTTGATGAAGTCCCTGACGAGCCATTCACCTACAGGGTCCACAAACCATCCTTTCTTATATACACCAAAGTAGAAATTTGAGCTAATAAAGGATGCCAATTGAGAAGTATCTTACCATTGAAGATGGAGGCTGTTGACGTGGTTGTGTTGTTCGAACCCATTTTGGGAGAGGCCTAATGGAATTGGAATTGGATTCATGAGGCAAGCTAGATAGAAAAACCAACCCGTGTTCAACAACAAAGCTCTTCTCAAAATCATTATTCTCATGGGAGCCCCTAAACTCAGAGACAATCCCATGGCCTGGAACTATAACAGTGTTTGACACTTTATTATCATCCGCGTTTCGCAGTGGCAGAGAAGGAAATGAGATTGGAGAAGAAGAAGGTTGATCGTAGTGCTCAAACTTTGGAATTGATCGAACCAGATAGGAAGATTTGCTTGAAGATACAGAAAATAACGGTGGTAAAATTGCCGAAGATGCTATAACTTCATCTTTCTTTTGCTGTTCTTCAACTCTCATTTTCTCAAGCTGAGCTACCCCAGGTCCTCTCTTTGGGATCTTCTTCAACTTTGGCTTTTTGCATGGTCTACCAGAATTGCTTCCAAAGTTGTCACCACCAGAACTATTGCCACAGTTTTGGATTTGATCTTCTCGAGTCATTATTGTTATCTTCTGGTTCCTTACGCTATGCGTAGTTTTGATCACTTTCATGGTCAGCTCTTTTAAGCAAAAACAGATACGCAGATTTGTAGGTATAGAGATCTCGTGTTTGATATCAGACCCAACACTCGGATTAAATATATCCAGGAGGAAAATCTAAGAAGGTGAAGATTACACTAAATCATTGGCTGGGGGAATCTGAGGAACAAATCAAAAGGCCTAGCCAATTATTGAGCAGAGATTAGAGAGAGTGAAAAGAAGTATCTGAAAGGTTTCGGATTTTTCTCAAATCCAGTTGTGCTTGTCTTGTCTGAGAGACGGATCAGACAGAGTGGATTAAATTAACAAAAAGGAAAAACTAGGCTAAAAATGAATGTTTAAACTGAAAAAATGGTTTAATTTTAATTTTGATTTCGGAATTTTAATTTTTGACCCTATCAAATGAAAAAATATAAATAAAGGATTACGAAATTGCATTCTTAACTGCCTCAAATGAAAAAATATCTATACGTGGAAAAAAAAAATAATGAAATGTCATTCTTAACTGTAAGCACTGTGTAGACTGACTGCTGCTTTTTGATAGATTAATATTGTTTTAATAAAAGATATCTAATACCCATATAACCAAAAAAAAAGAAGATATCTAGTACCCTTATTTTGACAATATAAACCAAGTTTTGAATTCAAATTGAGTGGTCGGTTAGAGAGATTTTTTGTAAAAAGAAAAAGAAAAAAATCTTTATTGATTCTATAATGCAATATTAATGATATTTTGAGAAATAACTGGATCACGGTTCGCCTAAAATCTAAGTTCAATTACACTTAGCTAGTTTATAATTATCCATGAATTATAAACAATGGAGATTGTAGAGTGTAAAGACTATCAACGACTATTTCATAAAATGATTTTTCAATCATTTTACACATATTAATAAAACGTAATTATTTATTAGAAAATTAGGATAAAAACTCTGATTGAAAAACTAATTAGGGAATAATCCTTGAAATGATACTTTTGATATTTTTTATATATAAAAAATATTGGTATTCTGAATTATAGGTGTCGTTTAACAATTAATTTTTTAATTATAGGAACTATTTCCTAATTTTTCGTTATTCATTTATTATGGTGTAATTGGAGACCAAACTTTTCATCTTTGCCCTTGGTCAATAAATAAAGAAAGCGTATGTAATTAATACTCATTTAGTCCTAAATATAACATCTATTTTATAATATAAATTATACTATAAAGTAGATCTTAAATTTAAAAATGGACGAGTACTTTGTATAACCTTCAAGGGATTAGAGATAAAAGAGTCTTATTAATCACATTAATGCCAGTTATACATGAATGCATGTCAATATGTCATACAGCTAATTAATACTTTCAAGCTAATTAATACTTTCTCCGGTCCTTAATATATAGTATATATGAAGTAGATAGATAACAAATTAACAAATTTGTAGAGAATAAAAAAATTAATTAAGTTAATTATTTAAAAAAATATATTAAATTTTCTAATATATCCTCTATTATTATTATTTGGATTGAAATTATTTCCTGATGAAAGCATCCTTACTACATGTACTTAATAGGAAATGTTCGTGAAAAAAAGTTATAAGTTTAGAAAATAAATTAAATTGAAATATTTTTTTTAGTGAAAAGAGATATAATTGGTCGCAAATAATTACAAGCAAAGAAAAACAGAACGAGAGTTGGAAAGAAAAGAACAAATCTTCAAATCAGGCTAGATGCATTTGTTTGTGATAATCCTGAGCCTGGACTCCACTAGCTGCTCGCTCAAAGGCAGAATCCCATTGATCAAACGATGGGGATTAGTAGTTTCGTGGGAGAAAACATCAAGATTCCAGGCGTCCCATAGTTTCCAGGATAAAAGTCCAAAGACAATACACCAGGATCGGTTATGCTGTTTTAGTCTAAGACTCTCCCTAAGCCATTCATGTGCGTGATTTATAATATAAGAGACAAATATATGACAAGAATTTTGTCTCAACTCATTTTTTTCGAGAAAGTTATTATAGTTCATCAGTTGTCATATATGTTTCTGCTCACCTGGCTGATGGGAAAAATTGAAATTTTATATTTAGAATCAAAATAAACCCTTTAATTAATACTTATATTCAGAATAGATAGCAGTAATATATTGAGATTGGGGAATGTCTATAATGGATAGTTTGATTTGATTTATCTCAAACTAAGAACCTAAGTTTTTATGTAATATAAAATTTATTAAAAAAAATTATTTATAAATCATGAATGATGTGATTTATCCCATGTAGCATAATGCTCACATTCTAGTTGTCCTAAATCTTAACATATGATCTATTACTCCATTAATACACCGCACAATATGAAATATGCCTTTGGATTCCTTTAAAGAAAGAAATTGTACGTGTTAATTAAGATTCCTCTTCTCTTTCATTTACACAATGAAATAATATTACATATATTTTCCGTCTGGAAGTTAAAAGGCCACAGATAGCTTTTTTATATATACATGACTTGACTCTTAGGCTGTATTAGGAACAATGCGTTACATAAGACATCATTATTAAGTTAGGGAACTGTCGAGTTAAAATAGGTGTTGGTTCACTTTTATATTAATTACGTACATGAACTGGAGTTTCAATATGTCTTGTCTCTTTTATGCGATGCCAACGAGGAAAAGATATAACAACCTTTTCAACTTCAGGCCCAACAAACAAACTGGCATATGTATCAATTTTAATACACAAATAGGCAAATAGTTAAACAGAAAATCAGTATCTATCCATTTCATAAATTACAGGTTACAAATCCAGGTAGGAGTTTTATTATCAACAAAAGACACTCCCATCACCATCATTGAACCAATCTTAGAGCCTCCATGGCCCCATCTTTTCAATCAATCGCAGACTTGAAGATAATATATATATTGGTGATATTTCATTTTCATTTGGCCTTAGTTGGATGAGTCATGGCATCTAACATCGAACATTTGTGGAAATTGGATTTATTTGTGGGATATGTGCCAACTATTTAGGCTGTGATATTGAAGCAAAAAGCCAATGATCATGAAAGTTACTAACTTGAGTCACCCCTGATTCCTCATCAAGCTTTTCAACAAGCGAAATGGCTATTTACTTTAATATAGAATTTATCAAATTTAAAACTTTAAACAATTTTTCTTAAATTTACAACTAATTGTCTCACGCACTTGTGAGGGGATAGGTATGGCGATTTTTGACTATTTTGGAAACACACCTGGAAATGGAGATCCCTACCTTTCCTCACCTTCATTCATATGGACTACTCATCTTTCAAGAGATAAACCATCCGCTTCAGTGTAGTTGGCTAGTCGCTCCACCATTTTCAGTATTCAAAACAATCAATCACCATGCAAGCTATTGGCTGTCTTCCATTTCATCTAATCTTATATCACCACCCTCACACCATCCCATCGTCGGCAGCCAATCTTCAGGTCCCTGCTTTTTCTTCTCCGGTACGTGTCCCTTCTTCTTCGCCATTGTTTTTCATCGGTCTTTCTGCTTCTGGGTATCTCAGATTTTAATGTTTTAATGATGTTTCAATTTGAAAGATGAAGCCTTGTTGCTCTTGTTAATAAGGAAGCGGCTCTATTGAACTCCGGTGCTCTGATGTAGTGGCATTAATAATTATGTATAAAGGCTTGGGTAATTAAATTGTAGAAGAGTATGGGATTCATGTTTCAGTGCTTTAAATGCCTCAATTCTCAAGCTTCAAAGAATGTGAATACTTAATCTGGGGTGATGCTGTCTGCACCATAGTGTAACACATTACGTTCGGGATATTCAGAGCTGATTCCAGGAATTTATTGCTTCTGAAAGAATTAAAACCCTTTTAAGATATGTGATTTGAAATATTCATGCAGGCTCTATCATGTATATGCGTGCTCTTGGTTTATATAATGAAAGATCCTATCCTCTAGGCTTTGTGGAGTCTGAACTGTTATTTACATATAATGGAAGCTTACTTTTATTGAATTTGCAAGGACCTTGGCCTTTAAGTGACTTTAGAATAAGTTTCCAACGTTTGGGAAATTAAATTTTCTCTGTATAAATCGGCACCTGAGGGAAATTTGAAAGGCCTGTCTTTTGTCGTTCATTTACTGTAACTGTGTTATTCCAATGCAGGTTTATTGTTGTCAATTTCCACGTCTTGCCTCTCTGAGTCAAAAGAATGAGTCCAAAAAAATGGTTTAGGACGATAATCAGACTGAAGAAAAAGGAAAACAAATCAAAACAACAAGAAAAGGTAGTAACTTCACTTGACTGTTCAGCATTTTCTTTTTCTTTTTCTTTTAAAGTTTTGCACACATGATGAGAACTTGGGTCTCTCTGTTAGCTTTTCTAGTATATTATTATTGGGAATTACCTACTGAAGAGGATTAGAATCTTTGTGAAGTCATCAACTTGCTATGTTTTTTCTTGCACTACTTGAAGCTGGCTCTGTTTTGAGCTCTTCTTAGCACAACCATTCTTTACTAAGTGAACATTAAACACTTGTTAAGAACACATGACATAAACTGCTCCTGAAATAGGTGGAATCTAGTGTTGAAACGGCAGATGAGTCAAACAACATCCCCGTTGAAGCTCCAGCGTTAAATCGAGCAGTTCCAACAAGGTTGATTGAAGATATTGCTGCTACTCGCATTCAAAATGCATTTCGTTCATTCATGGTATATCAATATGCATCTCAATTCCTTTATCTTGTCTGTGAGTTTGGCTAGATATTTGTACTCTTGTTTCTTTGTTCCTTGCCAAAACCATGCTAACGAATCAAATTTAATGAGTGAAGTTCAAACCCTTCCCCGAACTTACAAAGGAAGCCATCCTCTAGTCTCAGCCCTATGAACATAGTGACATTATCTGCTGGTTGTGTAATTTTCTCTCACTGTTTTCACAATAGAAAATACAATTTTACTTTTACTTTCTGGCTGGATTTTCCAGATGAATTCTGTATGAAATGCATGCTGGAAACAAAACATAATTTTTATGAGCACATTTCATGTTTATGATAATTATGCTTCCGAATCAACCAGACTCTTTTATGCATATAACAAATGAAATGGCATTTAGTGTAGGGTTTGTATGGATTTAATCTTTAGCCAGTTCAACAAATATAGAACTTATAAATTGAGCCTTTGTGGGTAGATCAAACATATTAGGTGTCTAGGTGGGAAGATATGCCAATACTTAAGTGTTTTTTTTTTTTTTCCTTTGGGTTAAATATAGAACTTATAAATTGAGCCTTTTTGGGTAGATCAAACATATTAGGTGTCTAGGTGGGAAGATATGCCAATACTTAAGTTTTTTTTTTTTTTTGGTTAAATGATTGATTTGGTTTGCCTATCTTCTGTAATAAAATTTGCATAAGAATTTTTCTCCCCGCCTTCGAAGTTGATGTGTCTGACCCCCTCCTCGCTCTCCAACAATTATACAGGCAAGGAGATCTCCAAAATCTAATTTTAATAATCTGAGGGGAACCGAGAAATTTGAAGCTTTGATTCAAGATCACCTGGCGAGAGAGCAAACAGCAACTGCACTAAGCTACATACATTCATGGTGTAGAATACAGGACCAAATTAGAGCCCGCAGACTCTGTATGGTAACAGAAGCCAAGATCAAGCAAAAAAAGCTAGAAAACCAGTTGAAGCTGGAGGCCAAGCTTCATGAACTCGAGGTATAATAATAATTAAAATTGCTACCATCTGCTTGTGATTGTGATGGCTTTTACTTCTCCTGATGTGAGGTGAGTTTTTGTGAAGCCTCAAATCAACAGGATAAGTTTTTGTGATGTTTTAATAATGTGTTTGTAAGTCTGCAATTCAGTCTTCTTAGTAAAAGCCTCTAATTGGTGAGGCAACCCCACACACATCCAACCCCCAACCTCCCTACTCTGGATTCCTATATTTGCCTCCAAAGGCTATGAGCCTTGTTACCTTTCCTGCAATGATTCTCATTTTGGTGAACAGGTGGAATGGAACTGTGGGTCTGAAACAATGGAGGAGATACTTTCCAGGATACAACAGAGAGAAGAAGCAGCCGTGAAACGAGAGCGAGCCATGGCATATGCATTCTCTCATCAGGTGGAACAACAAAACTTGCTTTTTGAATTTTAAACATCAAGTTCTCTTGCTATATGAGCTATATAAATCCATGGACTATTCCACTTTATTCAATTATGGGAACATGATGAAAATGCAGTGGAGACCCAACTGCAGCCAATATATTGGGCAAGCTTCTTTCAATCTTGGCAAAGAAAGCTGGGGTTGGAGCTGGATGGAGCGATGGGTGGCAGCTCGCCCATGGGAAATTCGGATTCGGGTTCAGGCCCCTAAAGCAAAGAAGCCCAATGGACAGAACCGGACCAAATCAGACAAGGTAACAACAACAACAGACCAGACAGATAGTAGCACACCAGTTATGGCTAATGGGAATGAAACTGGGAAAGCAAAGGAAAATACTACAGGCTTGTCCAAGAACAGTCTGTCCAAGTAGTTTGCGCTGTTTGAGGTGGCAAAAATCAAGGGTTGATGGCTTTCCAAACCTGGGACAGATCAAAATGGCTTGAAATGTTGGTCGGGTGTTCATTTTGCACTTTTTATTATCAATTTTGGAATTGTGGCTTGGTGAGAATCTGATATTCAGTGTGTATATTAGTGTTAGAAGACTTATTTCTTCAGTGTTTTGCATATAACTAGAATGTGTTTAGTTTTGCATCTCCCTAGTGATTCCTGGCTCTAGCTTGAATACAATTTACCATCCTCTGCATTTCAGGTCTATCTTCACATGGTTTTTGTTTTACTTTTACTTATCCCAAGCTGACAAAAAGAAAAACGCTTGACGAGAAACCAGTACTTGTGGAGAAGATAAGATGGATTAAATGGTACCAGTTGGCTTTCCATCAGTGTCAATTTATAAAAGTTATGGTTCAACTTTGTATTATTGTTGGTAAATACATCAATACTGAGCTCATGAGAATAATGGAGGGACTGAATCTGTATATGCTGGTCACAAGGCTATAAAAACGATCAATTGACTCTTTTGAAGCCCTCAAGCTCATTAAGAGAAAGGAATCAAAGTATAACAAGGCACATCCTTTGCTTAACCTCTTAAAAGAAAATTATTAGAGTTAATTAAGCGCAATTAGTTGGCTTCTTATAATCATATAGTTAAAGGCCAATAAATTTACTCATAAAGGGTTAAACAAGTAACCTCATCCTTTTTAAGATGACACTAAGTGTCAGTTCAGTCAAACGATTTTGACGAATAATGATAGAATTTAAATATGTGAATAATAAGACCCTAAAAAAAAAAAATTAAAAGTAGCACTGGAGAGAGGAGGCAGTAATAAAATAAGTGCACTTTTGGTAATGGCATGAAGCTATAAAGCAACATTAATCAGGTTAGTAATGATGTTGACATTTTTTATAACCCCCAATTGATTTAGAGGGGGGGGGGTTCCTGACAGTGCAATAACCATCTCGGTTATTGGATGTTATTAATTGGTAACTAATCGAGTAAGGTTTTTAAATTAATTTCATGAAGTAGCTAGTAGCTGGCATGCCCTAGATGCTATCTCATTGTCACGCACTTCAATTATATTTTAACCTTTCCATCAGTAAATACAGAGGATCCATTTTGCTTTGCCGTCAAATACAACTATTGATTTAAATCACCAACCAACGTTAACATCACTGGCTACTCTTCTCTTTTTTAGCGTGTTATATAACAAATGTTTAAATAATAGTTAGTGTAGTAGAAATATACATAGAGATGGTGACCCTCCCAATAATTTCAGGATACGCGCACATATGTGTGGGTTTGCAATTCTGAGCTTGATAGCATTCAGTAATTGTTTTAGTGCGAGATATGTTGACATTATTAATTAAAAAAATAAGATTAATATTATCGTTAGTCATTATAGTTTAATCGAATTTTGGTTTTAATCTCTATAACTCGTTGGTAGCCTTCATCGCAAGTCTTCATGAGACTATAGAGATGAAAACATAAGATTTAAATACAAGAATCAAAAGTAAAATTTGATTAAATTGTAAGTGGCAAACAATAATAATAACCCTGAAAAACAATACTACCTCATATTCTTAATATAAAAGCTAGTTTGACTTTTAATTTCGTACTAAATGTAAGATTCTAATCCAACTTATCTCTCATATTTACTTATTTTTTTTAAAAGTAATCATTATAGTAATTGTATATGTTAAACGTTTCATTAAATAGTAATTCTAACTAATACACATAATTAACAATGGTATTCTAATAAAGATAACACATATTTATTATAAATAACTAATTTAACAAATTTTCTTGATATACTTAAATTAGTGAATTAGTTCTTATATTAAAAACTGGAGGTAGTACGAATGTGTATGAGAATTATTCCAGATATATATGGATTTTAATTGTGTAAAGATGTTTATCTTAGATGCGTGAGGCCACTCGACTTTGGAAGAAAAAAGTTCAAAACCTTTCACAAAAATAAAATTAATTTGCACTCTCCACCATAGTCATTATTCAAGTGTTTGTATGTGGAAAGCCAGTCAAGACTGGGAAAACAATTAGTTTCAAATATAAATATAGTGGTCAAAGTTTTGTCCTTTACCCAAGTGATGATGTTAATTTATATGGAAAATTTTATGCGTATTTTACCATGTCATATACAAATAAATTGCATGCAATTCTCTTCAAAACTACTGGATCCCATCTTTGTCCTCTTATCAGACCTCCATTACTTGTAAAGGAATAAGGCCTCTACATCTACAAGATAACAAAACATAGAAAGAATAGTATTAGGTAAAACTAAGAAAAATAAATAAATAAATCTTACAAGGGAATTATGATCTTTGGTATTATTTTCCTATGAATAATTATTTGTGAAGAGGCATATAGCTATTAATAGAGCCTAATGACTTAATATAATACATATAACTGACCTTAATTAATATAGCCTAATGGTATTATTGTTGTTGGTAATGGCTTTTATTTCAAAAGCAGTTCACTAAATTAAAATTGACGACAATGGCGAGGTAGAATGTAGGCAAGGATCAAAGATTCAAACTTTTTTTGAATGTAGCTGAATATGAACAATCCATAGTTAATTAAAAGAATTTAAATTCCTAAATTAATATGTTCAGGCCAATGGCTCTATGATTTGGTGATGCCAATGCAACCACATTTTCAATTCCTTATGAAAATTAAAGATGCGCATTTGATCCCACTTGCTTTCAAGCAGCTTGTATAACTTACCCCTTTATATATACTCAAATTAACATATGCTTAAGCACGATGGTTTTGTAATTTGGGACTACGACAGATTAAAAGGTTTGATATAGGTGCTTAATATTAGAGCATTATATATATACTCCTCCGGTCCTTAATATAAGACCAATTTAATTAATTTGATTAGATTAAGGAAATTAGGTAAGTTAGTTAATTATAAAAAAAGTAACACATTTTTCCCAAAAACACCATAATCATCTTTCTTAATACCCCCTCTCTCTTATACTTGATTATGGTTGAGAGAATATCTATAGGGGGTAATTTAGAGAAAACTGATAAATATGATAAATGGGTCTTATATTTAGGACCAAAACCAACTCAAGAATTAGGTTCTATATTAAGGACCGGAAGAGTATATATATATATATATATATGTATATATGTATGTATGGGTGGATTTCCTTCTTTTACAAATATATTTGGCGGCGCCTTTTTCCTTAATTATTTTCGCTCCATAGGTTTGTGGCATCACCTCATAGGCTCATACGCATTATGCAATATAGCTCTATGCAAGGACAACGGGATTCCACTCCCATCTTAAATTTAACACTTGAAAAGCTGAGCTTCTCTAACACAGGGAAGGAGCTTTGGCATGGCCATCCAAGCATAAATTAAAGCATTAGTTACCCAATTGGCTTGTTCACCGGTATAATTGTGATGCGCAATCAGATGATTTCTTATTTTCTTTTTACAACAACAACAAGTTATTATTTTATTAGGTGGGGTTGACTACATGATCGAATCACATGATATTATTATGTTTTATTAATAATCAAGTTTTTAAAAAATTATTAATCAAAATATCTCGCTTGCTAAATAAAAAGAGACGAGTGACTACAGATCGATGTCAAATAATTTATAATTCCCCCAACATGATACAATTCCTTTTAGTACATAAACATTAGAATGCGTACAAAACTTAACTGGATCTCACACACACATCCCAAGTAGCTATATATGAACCACAAGATAGAATGTTTATAGGTGTGAAAGTGAAATAGGTTGAAAACCAAAATGACAAGCAACTTTCAATTCTTTCCACATGCAAAGGATAATAGATGAAGCTAAGGATACACAACATTTGACTCATGATTATCCTTTTCTTTGGATGAAAGAATTTGAGTTTTTGACTCAGAGAGAGAGAGAGAGAGAGAGAGAGAGAGAGAGAGAGAGAGAGAGAAGTCGGCGCTTGGTGGGTTGATCTTAGCCTTCCAAGTAAATGCTAAATTAGTGTCACTTCAACACCATACGCCGCAAACGGATATGCATCCATCCATACACATTTACGTTGCGCTTATTTCTTCTATTTCTTATCCTCCGTCCCACATTGATCTCCTTCAATACCCACGTCTTGACGGCTATATCTATACATTCCTTTCACTTTTTTTATATTTAATTTAAACTAATTAAGTGAAGTTTAGTGTCCACAAAAAAAAAAAGAAATTTATTATGTAAAATATATCGCCTGTTGACTTTTTGATATGTATTAATAGTACTAAATAATATAAAATGTGCTTGTCCATTTGACATCTCTCTGTAACGTAGATCAGTATAAATAGGCAATCCAGCCATATTTGGGGAACACTATCTTCCCTCTGCAGTCATATTCACTCTCTCTCTCTCTCTCTCTCTATATATATATATATATAGCTTGTTTTCAGGACTCAAAAACGATGTCGTCTTTGGCCAAGTGTGGTAGATCCGGGATGGTCTTGCTGGTTTTCCTCCTCTTTTCACTTGTGTTGGTGTCGGAAGGCCGTCCTCTTCCTTCTCCTATCCCTGACGAGGATAGTGGAAACCAGGCATTTGTTGCCAAACAAGTGATGAAGGATGTCGCCCTAACGAAGCAGTTGATTGGGCCGCATCCCATGCCCAAACGCCTCAGCCCAGGAGGCCCAGATCCCCACCATCACCTTTGTTTGGATTAATATAATTTTGAGTCCTCTAAATTTGTTTTCATTTTGGTTTTGATCCCTCAAATTTTAAATCATAAATTTTGGTCACTCAAAGAGCAAAATGATGCAGATTTTTATTAAATTATAAGGATAAAATTTTAATAGAAAGAAATTTGAAAGACCAAAACTTATGGTTTGAAATTTGACAAACCAAAACTAGAATAAAAGCAAATTTGAAGGATAAAAAATTATATTAAGTCCTTCTCTTTTTAAATTCACATTATGGAATATTGGAGGAGAAACTGGTACCATGTATTGCGGTGATCCCAAAAGTGGTATTTGTCACCTTTTGAGGTTGATTTGGGGTTACAGTATTGTTTACGTTTAACTAATAGTTAAATCCATGTGAATTAATGTTGGAAACCTTATGTTTCTTTTGTTACATGATGAGATAGTGACTCGTGTATATTAAATAAAGGTTGAAATGAGTTGCATTGTTCATGAATTATATAAAAGTTCAGTTTCTACCTCCTAATTCATACGGATTGTAGTTTACAGTGAGAATGCTGTTTTTTTTTTTCCCCTTTCAGTTATTGTGATGAATATTGAGTTATGAAACTTTAGTCACCATAAATTATAATTGTCTCCTAATTAGTTTGTTCATTTATGTGCTTTTTTTTTTTATTGTAAGTTTTCATTTTTCGACCACAAATATAATATTTATTTTATAATGTAAATTACATTATAAAATGTCTCTTATATTTAAGATCGGAAGATTATTGAATTTTGGAGGCAATTAAAGAAATTGAAAGACCTTAATGTCATATTCTTTAACCGTTGAAAAATAATTACACTTTGAATTTAATCCTATTGAATTAGGCACTTTTGTTACTTTCTACAATGCTTTTGAACTAATAAAGTTTCGTATTGGTCAAATTGTACTTTCCCAACAAAGAGTTTTTATTTCTCGCATTTGAATTAGCAAGGGGCTCTTATCTCACATACTTAGTAAACCAAGCAAAGACATAAAGGCGAAGCCTTTTTCACATTCATGAAATACATATTGGAACGAAATGTTTTAAATGTGGTATGTGTTCCGTGAAAGGCACTAATCTGACTTATTCTTAACAAAATCTTCGTGATTATTAATTGGGATAAATTATTACATAACCATGGCAATATTATTTTATTAAAAACAATCATATTTGAAGGATTGTCACGTACTATAAATATGAGCTAACCAATATTATGTATTGAAGAGGATTCAAAGACCTATACTCTTTAGCACGAGAATTTGAGTTCCACGAGCTTAGCATTTCACCAGCAAGACATTTTGAAAGTGAATCGCATTCCATAAATATGAAACTCTCATAATGAGAACTCAAACTTTGATTTATCATATTATAAAAAATTAGTTTCTTCGTTAGATCCCACTTTGATTCATAATCATTTTGTAGCTGGGTTGACATCTTCCTGCGCAAAGAACATCATTGGGCACTGGGCTTAGTTTCACATCTGGGCCTATAAGAAAGAAAAGTTGGGTTCTGCTTTGCAGCAACTTGCCCAAAACCAATTTAAAAAATAATAATCATAATCATAATTAAAGATTCTGGAATTTGAAAAATACATATAAAAATCTGTGACAACTTCACTATAGTTTTTTATAATAATAATATGTCATGAAGTTGTCAAAACCTATAGTGAGGTTGTCACGGGTCTTTATCTGTGTTTTTCAAATTTCATGGTTTTTTTTTTTGCGATTTCCTCTAAAAAAAATATCATCATATTTTTTGTCCAACTCTTATCTCAGTTGCTTGCCCCCATAATATTCAGGGAAAATCTTATAAAAAGATGCTAAAAATTACTAAATCTCAAATCAGGTTTGTTAACAACACTTTAATAAGTTTTTCATAATACTAGGCTTGCAAATAACAATACAGTCTTATTTAAGATTTAATAATTTCAAACTTCTTTAAGATTCTCCCTGTTATTTGATAGTTGCTGAAGAGATTTAGAATTTCTCCCTAAAAATGTACTGTTCTATGCCAAATACACATGAAGGTAAGGCTTTTCAACTGTATTATTCATGGTTTATATTTTTCTTTTGCCATCATTATCCATGATTTATACACGGTATAATTTTTTATGACTTCTTTTTATGAACATATGGAATTAGAGCCGCCTTTATTTTGACGTGTGAAGGGAAACTTAGTTTGGGAGAATCTAAATCCAAAATGACAAGAAACCTCTTTACACACATGAAGCATGAAAAACGTGGCAAAAATTAATCATTGAGAAGATCTCTTTTGGACACAAAAGTGAGGTTCATTTTAGCTCTTGGTTTTGCCGATTACGATTAGGCTTAGCCCACCAAAATCTGACTCATAATACATTCAGCAAATTGACAAAAAGTAACGGGGCCACTTTATATCAGAAGCCACATAAAGACTTCAAAGATCAACTTTTCAATTTAAAAATTTCACTAAAAAAGATTAATGAATAATGACATACCAGATGCCATAGGGCGTGGCAAGAGAGTATAAATCATGTAACAGACTTAATTTGAAATTTGGTTTTAACAAAGATTATCACTTATGTTATAAAAATCCTGATTTGAATCACCGATTCATTAGTCTAACTAGCATCAAATTGGATTTAATACCATAATATAAACTAAAACACACAAAAAAACTAATAATAGGTACTTACTTTTAAGGGTGAGTTAGTTACCCGTGACTCGGGCTCATCAGAAAATTTACCTGTTTGGCTTCATGTATCAAATAATATCACTCAATTTTGTGACAATGTAACTTCCACTTCTGAGCTGATTCATGAAAGCCTTTGATACAATTTGCTTACTGCTATGGAAATTAGGCCGCCGCAGAGATGTTGTCCAGAAAGATAAAAGAAAAATAATCTGTTGACATTTATGAAAGAAAAGGGTTACTGAAGATTCAATGTATATTCTTTTCTTCAAATGCAAGCTCCTGCCAAATATTCACAGCCAATTGCTAAGCTGAGTTGAAGTTCTGAGATTTGAGGGTTTATAAACTTTTAAAAGTACACCTAAATATCAATATCGTCGGCAAAATGCTCCACCCACGTTGGTCTCCCCCTTCATTCTTTTCTCTCATTTCAAAACTCCTATGATTTTACTCGTGACTAACCCAAAGTGAAAGTTCCTTTTCCAAAAAGATCATTTTTTTATACTCTATACCACCTTCTGAATGATCTATACGATGATTGATTCTTTGACCTCATCATTAAATTTGCTAAGTTTGCACATCCATATATATATATATATATAGCCAACCCAACCATAAAACAAAGTCCCTCTCTTTCTCTCACCAGTCTGAAATACACACTAGCAAGTTTTAAACTTTTAATAGCTCAAGAACGATGTCGTTCGTGACGAAGTTTGGGAAATGGAGAGTGTTCTTATTGGTTCTGTTTCTCTTTTCATTTGCTTTCTTGTGCCGGGGTCGTGATCTTCCTTCTCCAATCCCGAAGGGGGATAGTGGAAACCAGGCATTTGTGGGGAGAGCCAAACAGGTGATGAACGAGATTGCACGGAGGCGCCAATTACTTGGGCCGCATTACAAGCCCAACCGTCTCAGCCCAGGAGGCCCAAATGCTCACCACCATTAGTCTGCCCTTCTTGAGAAATAAGTATGCCTATATGATTTATTGGCTAAAAAGTTGTGTTTAATGATTATATATACTCATATAGGCACACACATATACAAACTAAGAAGCATCTATAAGCAAGTTTCAGGTCGTCAAAGCTTAAGTTTCAAGTGTTAATCTTGTTCTTAGCCGTTCATATTATGATATAAACAAGGATACTTCTCTTTGTTTAGTTCTTGTTGTTGTTATTATTATTAGATGTCATAATTATGGCAATATATATTACTAGTGGAGAAAACAACTCTCATTTGTCACTTAGCATGCGCTTTAATTCATATATAAGATAAAATAATTAATAATTGTTTAATTTTGATGAGCCTTTAAACGCTACAGAGAATTATTGTTCAACATTTTTAAGATCTTATTTAAATAGTTAGTATCACTTTACTTTATAAATATTTGAATATTTCTTGCCACTTCGATTTTTTTAATCATCAATTTGTTTTTTCTTGAAAAGCTAACATCTCTTTCATCAGTTAAAATATTTAACTTGTTATACCTCTCAACTACTTGTCACTGGACTCTAATATCAATCAGTATGAACTTAAAAAATTAAAGTACCTGGTTAGAATCAAATCCAAATACTATATAAAACTAGAAAAAGGACATTTCTCTCGAGAATATTCACCAGAACTCATTTGAATAAAAAAAATATTGATTTAATCAGTTTATAATGATGATGAGTTTTGAAATATAAATGGATTGTTAAGTGCATCGTGATAAATATTGTGAATTCAACTAGCAATTAAGGAGTTTGAGATAGAGAGTGTTTGGGTGAAACCCAAATCATAATCTTAAAAGTGATTTTATGGTATATAAAATAAGTATGTGATAGGAGTTTTATATCGATTTGCGTAAAAATACTTTTCAAAAATGCTTTTGCCTATAACCAAACACCCCTTATATAGTCAAAGAAAGAGGTTGACATCCAAGGAAATCAAATGGATGGTAATTAATATAATTTAAGCGTAGTGGATCACTATATATTTGAATATTTTAAGATATATAGGAGTAACTTTACAATAGTTGATCATTATATAGTACCAACCTGCATTTCAAAAATCATTCCACTAATAATTTGGTTATATATATATATATATTAGTGGTACTATAAAATATATCGAATTTCTTAGCCTTGTGCTACTCACCATCATTATAATTGTGCTTAAGGTCACTGAGAACTTAACCGGGCTTTTATATAAAATTAAGATCTATTTAACTAATTTAATTAGATTAAGATTAGTTAATTATAAAAATATAACATATTTTTCTTAAAACACCATAATCATCTTTTTTAATGTTCTTCCTCCCTCTTTTAGTTCATTATGGTAGATAGAGTATCTATAGGGATAATTTAGAAAAAAATTGATAAATATAAGAAAGAGATTTTATATTTAGGATGAAAATCAACTCAATAATTAGATCTTATATTAAAAACCGAAGGAGTATATATATAAATATAATTGAAGGTACTTTTTCTTTCTTCATTGATTGTCATGACGATCTCCAATTGAGAGCCTGATCCACAGCATTTCAGAGGTTTGATAAGTTGAAGTAGGAGAAATTATGATTTTTTAAACAACATTTTAGTTGAGAATATGTAGAATATAAAAAACATTGGAAACCACAATACGCGCTTATCATAAACGAATTTATATTCTATATACATGTCATGTTGCTTTTAACTTTTATATAAAAATCAAGATATGATACAATATTTGTAAGAAACCTTTTGTTTTGGTTCTTTTCAGATCTTAACTCTCTTTAGGTTATCTAAACAGCGAGGTGAAAAGAGAGAGATGAATACTGATTAATTAAGGATTTTAGAGACCCTAGTTTAATTGCTGATGAGTTTGTTCAAAGGTTCAATCCTTCGTATTGTTATTTTAGTCTAATCAGAAGGACTTGATTGAAAAATATAGAACAAAAGAAAATAAAGTGATGTGAAACTACAAATCAATTGTGAGTTTGATCACTTTTTTCTTCCCCACATCAATTCTGATCACAAAATATCATCAATATCAATATATCTAGACAAATTGTAGGAAATGCTATAGAAGTTGAGGATCTAAACAAAGTATTATTTAGCCGCATCGCAAGTGTCTTGCTAGTAATGAAACCCAAGGGACGCACACACAGATTAACAACCGAATACCGGCCATATTTTACTAATTTAACACTTCATATCCTCCATTAAATATCCTGAGATAAACAAAATCAGCTTAGTTGACAATAAAAGATAATATTTTTTGCAAAAAAAAAAAAAAAAAACCCAAAACAATGTCATGAAAGAAAGAAAGTGAAATGAGCTACGCGTACATGGAAAAGATGGCATTTAAGCCAAAGAACAAGTTGGTTATACCCAGAAGGATTTCAACTTTGAAGCGTGGGCATGACTCATAAGGTTGTGGAGAAAGCATAATAGCTCTCATGCCTTCACGTAAATACAAAAGGATATCGTCAGGCCTCATAAAGTTGTAAAGGTTATTTCGTCTTGGCTCTATTTCTTTGCATAACCCTGGAACTAAAATATGTTTATTGGACGCAAAAACGACAACCTAGGATGAATTCATTTTTTTTGCTCAGGCTATCGATCCTCAGAGAGAAAGAGGAAATAAAGCAGGAAAATGAGCAGAAAGTCCAATGAGGATAAGAACATTGTCACACTTTGTGTTTTTGTGACATAAAAAGTCTTAACCCACATGAAGAGATACGACAATGGCTGCCTTGGATTCTTGTTCTCTTCTTGCTCCATCTTCAATTATGCCAATTGTAAATTCAAAATCTGAAGCTCCTCCGAATTCTCTATATATAGGCTAGCTTCGTTATTGCTCTGCGCAACTTGTACTCATCAAAGATATAGTTGAGTTATTTAGAGATATTACTTCTGTAAGACACAATGGCTGCTTCGAGGAATTCAGGTTGTTCGTGTCTGTTCTCTGCATCATTGTTTTTGTGTCATTGGTTGTGGTGAGTTCAGAGGCAAGACTGCTGCCTCTGTCTTTCTCAACCAAAAGGGTCAAAAGATTGACAGTGAATCTCTGTTACGTGAGGTCACAAAAATTTGAGGAAAAGTGAGTCTGGCCTTCAAAAGAGGTCAATGCTAGGTCAAAATGGAAGTTGGAGAGAGTTTCACCTGCAGGGCCTGATTCTCAGCATCACTACCCTCACAATGCAATAAAACTTCCCCACTTCTAAGAGATTAGTGCAGCAGAGCTGAGAAACGAGAAGGAGGGGTGTTTCTCGTGTGAAACTTATTGTCGTCATCATTTTCATTACATTTCTGGTTTGTCACACTTCCAGGTCTGAATGAATAATTCATTGTGCTGTTGCAACTTTTGCTTATGTCTCACACTCTCTCTCTCTCTATATATAAATATATGTCTTGTTTTTATATTCCCTTAATCCTTTTCTTTTTTATTTTTCCCTTCATTTCCTTCTTAGTGCCTTAATGCTTTTTCTCCAAAGCAGAAGCGATAGTTATCTTTGAAATGTAAGATCAGCACCTTAATTACTCTATTATTTAATGGTTAGCCATCTTTCATAAATAAATTGAAGTGGTCAATACACACATAGTGCATGCCAGTGGCCCATGTGGCCTTGATGGCTTCTTTGGTCTACCTTTAACTCAAAATGTAGCTTAGAGTTCGGTTTCATGTCAGAAACCACCAAAATCATGATTTTTTTTTCCAAGTTAAAACCAAGCATACACTTAATTCACATAAACCTCGACTGCTTATGTACTTGGAGAAAAACTAGGTTAGTATTTCTCCTAACCTTGTTGCAAATTATTCCGAGAATAACTGTGAGAGGCTTAATCAGAGGCCTTTTTAACAATCAATAACTCTTCCACATGTTTAATTCGTATACCGTAAAAGTCTTTTAAAACTATGATTTTGTTTCTATCCAAACAGAATTTAAGCAAATCACATTGCTGAGTCAAGGTTATATAGTCCAGGTAAGGATTGTTTTTTTAAACCTTATTAAAATCTGTCGCAAGTTCTAGAAATAAGGATTAATTTCCTACACTGAGGTAAAGATTGCCGCAGATGAGGTTACAGGCACGGTACAATTCTCTTAAAGCCCAAGATTATGCAGATAATTGAGCATAAGGTTTGTCTGTTCTATCTTTCCCTTTAAATAATGATTAGCATGGTGACTTAAGCAGCTCCACAAACAAATTCAGTGATTGAGATCTTGATTTGAATTTCAAAGCATTTGTCCACACTTTTGTCGGTATAACCGGGTCGACTTTGATGCTAAGAAATGGCTGTGTCTAAGAATCATTGTTCTGATCCAGTTCATATCTGATCAGACCCAATCTTTTCACCTAAAATGTTCCAATGCAACGACCTGAAATCATTTGGTTGCACTGAAGACTAGCTTTGCTATTCCTGGCAAGCCATGCCCTTCTTCTGCAATACGTAAGCCTAGCTCTAATTGTTGCCTCCAGTGTCTCTAAAATCCAACATATAGTGTGTGCCGTACTGTTTTTTTATAAATGTTCATTCAATGTATTCCTAAATAATCTCTAACAAATTACAAACTAGATGATGAAAATGCATGCGTGCGTATTTTTGGGCAATATGTTCCTTATAGACGAATATTTTTGCTGACCTACCTCGTCCATAGGGCGTAATAGACTAATAGTGTTGTTGTTCGCTCAGAAGTTAGCTCCTTTGTTAGTCTCTAGCACTATAATTCATACTCAGTTTTCATATTACCTGGCCTCCAAGCCTGAATGTTTCAAATCATATTTGCTATCCGAAACCTCCGAATATGGCAAATTTTTCTTAATCATATCAAAGGACTTTTGGCTTCTCACTGGACTTTCATACCAGCAGTTTTCAGAGCAAAGTTCGGAAATCCATCACAGTAAAAGATTGTGCGCGGGATGTAGCAATTATCATTCAGCCCCATTTAGTTCATCATTCTTGTGCCCAGGCGTTAATGCTTTCACGTGCTAGTGGCTTTTGGAGGTCGAGTCCAAGTTTGGTTTGCGTGCCATAGTGTCAAAAGTAGTTTTGAGTCCAAAGCCTAGACTCAGTTTTGCAAGTTGTGAACCTAGTTATGGACACATATCACACTGATCAAGGGCCTCGGATCTTTTATGTG